ACGTACAGTATAAATATAAAAATGTTAGTACCATAAAATAAAAACCGGCAGCGCCAGCACCTTTTCAACTTTTTAGGGCACGGGGAGAGGATTTTATCCAAAAGGGGCTCGACAAAGGATGGCAAGGAGTCGGAAATTGGGAGACATGATGGGGCCCGTGCCAATACTAGCCGGGACTTCTTTCTCGCAACTGACGCTGAGTGCAAGCTGTTTAGCTTCCATGTGACAAAGTAAATTTCAATATATTGAAATTGTTATTTAAGTAGAGTGCACGTGGAGCCCAGATGGAGGGCATGGGGTTAAATTTCCAGAGACGGTTCCTTTCAATATTGTTGTCTCTGCATTTATGGGGCGGTCGCCAGCTGCTGTCTGAAGGTGCTCCCGCTGTCATTTCTCGTTTCTTGTAAATAGTGTCATAAATAAGTTTCCGTGATTTGAGTCCTCCCCTTGGAATTTTGAATGCAAACTCTGGCCACGGAAAATGAATGTACGAAATCATGCTTGAGATTGGCATTTTAAATTCAACGTTTCTCTAACAATCATCACCGAAAAACACCGCCTATCATGGCAAACGGTTCAAGCGAATAAGACCGCCCACATCCAACCGAGTAGAGTCAAAGTGAGTGAGCAGCGAGAGCAGATGGCGGTACAAAACTGGTGATACGATTTAATTACAAATGAAGTAATTTTTAATTGAATAACCGCCAAAGTTGATGGAAAAACGATTTGTCCAACTGCATGCGAATGCACACACACTACAGAGGATATCCACACAACTCATCATCTGGGTGGCCTAAAAGCTGAAAACAAAAACAGTTTCGCCTTGTTGGCTAGCATCGTGAAAATGCCAGTCGCTTTGGGCATCATATTCCCCTTTTGGTATTCAAAGCAGTCAACTGCATTTGGATACGACATTTGTATACCCTTACTGAAGGTATCATCAGTTATCTAAGCAAAGCGGAATCAATAATAGCGTCGATCAATTCTTATCCGCATGAGATTGTTATAATTTAGTCTCAAGTTTGTAAAGCGGTGGTAAAGATATCTCCAACCCCTTGCAGGAAACAAATGCCCGTTTGTCTGTTTTTGCGTAATTTCAAAACTGTCAAGCTGAAATTTACAAATTTAAAAGTTGAATCGTTTGACCCCTAATTACATGTTTATCCAACTTTTATTTATTTTTGCCCACCCCGTATCAGAGAAATGAAATTTCGAAAAAATTCTAAAGCTTTCGAAAATCAAAAGTTTTTCTTTATTCAATTTGTTTTTAACTGTTAGAAAATCTTTTTTCTGATAATGATATAATGATTTAAAAACACTCCATTTAACAACTGACATGCGAGTGTTTTTGCAACAGGATCAAACTGCGACTGTGTTTTCAAAATAATTGCTAAATATTGGCCATGGTAAGGTCGCAGTTGACATCTCAACCGGATTAATAACTTTTCCCACAGATTTCTGTCTTTTCACAGAATCGAAAGAGGAGCTTATATCGGGTGTTTTTTTAGAGGTATAGAACTTTAAGTTGCAATAAAACCACGATGGATTATTCGATTGACATGAATTTTTTTTTATTCGAAAGATAATCTTGTGGCAATTCATTTTATATATGATTTCTGGCATATGACCGCCACGGCTGGCTCAGATGTAGTCCAATCTGGACGTCCAATATCGATGACTTTTCCCAACATTTGCGGCCGTATATCGGCAATAACACGGCGAATGTTGTCTTCCAAATGGTCAAGCGTTTGTGGCTTATCCGCATAGACCAATGACTTTACATAGCCCCACAGAAAGTAGTCTAGCGGTGTTAAATCACAAGATCTCGGAGGCCAATTCGCAGGTCCAAAACGTGAAATTAGGCGGTCACCAAACGTGTCTTTCAATAAATCAATCGACATCCGAGCCAGCCGTGGCGGTCATATGCCAGAAATCATATATAAAATGAATTGCCACAAGATTATCTTTCGAATAAAAAAAATTCATGTCAATCGAATAATCCATCGTGGTTTTATTGCAACTTAAAGTTCTATACCTCTAAAAAACACCCGATACAACGTGTTTTTTCCTGACATTAAACAACAATATAATAATCACGATTGGCTAAATGAAAGAGCAATATTGGCGGCAAAAAATAAAGATGTCGTTGATCTCAATGCGACCATTCAGAATTTACTTCCAGGAGAGTTGGTTACATACAAATCAGTTTTCACATCTACTAACCAGGATGACGTAGTGAACTATCCTACAGAATTTTTAAATTAATTGGTGTTACCTGGACTACCACCACATAATTTACAATTAAAAATAGGATTAGTTGTCATCGTGCTGCGTAATATTAATCAACCTCGACTTTGCAATGGAACAAGATTGGCTATGAAGAAACTTATGAGTAACATCATCAAAGCTAAAATAATTAAAGGAAAATACAAAGGAGAAGATGTCTTATTCCCGCGTATACCTATGATTTCAACGGATTTGCCATTCGATTTTAAACGGTTGCAATTTCCCGTACGTCTTTTGCTATGACCATAAATAAATCGCAAGGACAATCGTTGCAAGTTTGCGGTATAAGCTTTGAGATTCCCTGTTTTGCGCATGGACAATTATACATTGCGTGTCGGAAAACCTACAGATTTAATTATTAACGCACCACAAAAAAAACTAAAAATAGTGTCCATCAGAAAGCATTATGTTAATGAACTGTATTGTTCTGTACTGTACGAAGTTCACCGGGTTTTCTAGTATAATATATTCTTGATCAGCATCACGATCTGAATCGAAATACTTTTGTACGTCTGTCCGTCTGTCCTCCTGCCCGTTTCTAGGCAAACTAGTCGCTTAGTTTTAAAGCTATCTTGCTGAAACTTTTCCAAAAGGTGATTGGTAATTGCACGCAGTATATAAATCGGAACGGGTCGGATCGGCCGACTATATCGGATAGCTCCTATACGAGAGAATGAAACAAAAAAATCTCACGCCGTTGTTTTTGATCAGATCGACTTGAATTCTTCAAGATGGCGTTTTCTAACCAATATTGAATTTCGGATTAAATAATATCAAAATCGGATAACTCTATCATATAGCTGCCATAGGAAAGATAAAAAAATGTATATAAAAAACAAGAAAGGAAGCTAGCTTCGGCAAGCCGAAGCTTATATACCCTTGCAGTCATCAAACATGTCGAACAAAATACATAAAGGCTAACAACATTGAAGCTATGATGACTTTTCTATTCATATTCCATATTTTCGACTATATGAACAGGCAGCTATATGATATAGTTGTCCGATTTTTATGAAATTTTTTTCTCGGTTTAAGGGTATTTCATAAAGTCGATGTTGTAAAAATCATGCTCGTGGAATAAAAAACAACAACGTTATGATTATTTTGCCATTATTTCTATATATATTTTTTGATCTTTCCTATGGCAGCTATATGATAGAGTTATCCGATTTTGATCAAATTTAATCCAAAAATCAATAGTAATAAGAAAACGCTATCTGGAAGAAATCAAGTCAATTCGATGAAAAACAACGACGTAATAATTTTTGTTCCTTTATTTTTTTGACCTCTTGTATGGGAGCTATCCGATATAGTCGGCCGATCCGGCTCGTTCCGACTTATATACTGCGTGCAATAACTACACAACTTTTCGGAAAGTTTCAGCACGATAGCTTCAAAACTGAGAGACTAGTTTACATAGAAACAGACAGACGGACAGACGAACCGATGGACAGACGGACAGACGTACAGACGGATTTCGATTCAGATGGTGATGCTGATCAAGAATATATATACTTTATGGGGTCTGAGGTGTCTCCTTCACTGCGTTGCAAACTTCTGACTGAAATTATAATACCCTTTGCTCTGCAAGGATATAATTAATGGAGAAAAACTTATAACATCGTTGTTTTAAATCCCACGAGCATAATTTTCAAAATATGGTGTTTTTTAATAACCCTTAATTCGAGAAAACAATTTCATTAAAATCCGACAACATTATCATATAGGTGTCATAGGAAAGATCGAAAAATCTACATAAAGGAACAAGAAAGGAACCTAGCTTCGGCAAGCCAAAGCTTATATATCCTTGCAGTCATTAAATATGTCGAACAAAATACATAAAGGCTAAACAAGATCGAAGCTATGACGATTTTTCTATTTTTATACCCTTGCAGAGCAAAAGGGTATTATAATTTCAGTCAGAAGTTTGCAACGCAGTGAAGGAGACACCTTAGACCCCATAAAGTATATATATTCTTGATCAGCATCACCATCTGAATCGAAAAATGTATGTACGTCTGTCCGTCTGTCCGTCGGTCCGTCTGTCCGTCTGTCTGTTTCTATGTAAACTAGTCTCTCAATTTTAAAGCTATCTTGCTGAAACTTTCCCAAAAGTTGTGTAGTTATTGCACGCAGTATATAAGTCGGATCGGGCCGGATCGGCCGACTATATCGGATAGCTCCAATACAAGAGAATGAAATAAAAAAAATCTTACGCCGTTGTTTTTAATCCGATCGACTTGATTTCTTCCATATGGCATTTTCTAACAACTATTGAATTTCGGTTTAAATTTTATTAAAATCGGACAACTCTATCATAAAGCTTCCATAGGAAAGATCGAAAAATATATATAGAATTAATGGAAATAAATTGATAACATCGTTGTTTTTTATCCCACGAGCATGATTTTTTAAATATTAAGTTTTTTAACAACCCTAATATTGAGAAAAAGTTTCATAAAAATCGGACAGCAATATCTTATAGCTACCTGTTAAGGAACCTCACTACTAATTACAATAATCTGGTATATTTTATAGCATGTAAGATATTCTTTCTTGAGATGGTCTGGTCTGTTTTTGATCTCGCTCTCTTCCTCTTGTGCACGAGCTGACAACATAAAATAAAAGCGTGATCTATTCACCAACATTGTCTGGTCCTTCGAGAGCCGGAATACTTCCGCATCTACAAACTGTTTTGAGTATATCTACACACCATGGAGCAACAGACGCTTAAACGCCTTACCCAAGCACGTGGTCGGCTAAAGGCTACCATAACTCGCTTGGTCAATTACATTGAGAATCCACCTCCACAGAGCACTTACTCCGGAGTCGATGCCATGCTGGCACGGCTAAATCAAGCCTTCAGAAGCCTTGAGGAGATCACTGACGAAATGCACCTGTACGATAACGTTGAAGGTTTCGAGGATCCTAACGAAGATTTCCAATCGTATGAGGAGAAGTACCTGCGCGCGCTTACCTTATTCGCGTCGTTAAAGAGCGAACTTCAGCCAAGCGCCATACCCCAAGCGGATCACAACATGGCCACACTGCTGCAACAGCAAAGTGAGTTCTTGCAGCGACTTGCTGAGAACGGAGCATCTACCTTGGCCACGCCGCCGCCTGCTGCAGTTTGTTTAAATGAAAACCCGTTGCCGAAAATCCACATCAAACCCTTTGGTGGAGACTACAAGGAATGGCCAGCCTTCAAGGACATTTACGAGAGCACCGTCCACAACAAGACCCACCTGGGAAAGATTCAGAAGTTTCACTACCTTAAGTCTTTCATAGTTGGTGAAGCGGCCAATCTTCTCAGTCACATGTCCATTACGGAATCAGCTTATGATTCAGCATGGGAACGCCTCAATGATCGCTATGATCGCCCAAGACATATCGTGAACTCCTTACTGGACACTTTCATGGCACTGGCTGCTGCCCCCAACGGCGAGGTGTCTAATCTACGCAAACTTACTGATGGCGCCAATGAAATCATTCGCGGGCTAGATGCAGTTGGGGAGACAAGCCGTGATTGCTGGGTGATTCATCTTGTACTGGCTAAAATTGATCCCGACTCTAGAAGGAAGTGGATAGAGGACACCAACCGTTGCAGACTTGTTTAGATTCCTTGATGACCGTTGCGAGGATTTTGAGTTAAGCCAAGCTACATCGGCAATCAAACTCGATCCTGGCAGCCACACGGACAAGCCTGCCAAAGCGAAGCGCGCACTTATTGCAATGAACCGTGGCAATTGTAGTAAGTGTGGCTCTGCTGACCATCAGCTGTATAGATGCTCTCAATTTCAAAATCTGAACACCGAACATCGGCGCTCCTTTGTGAAAGGAAAGTCGCTTCGCTTCAATTGCCTACGCCCAGGCCACCGATCTTCACAATGTCAATCGAAACATTCGTGCAAGCACTGCAATGGCCGTCATCATTCTCTTGTACATCCTGAAAACATGGATTCCATGCCAGTTGCTCCTGCGGACACTGCACAGGCCAGTCCTCAATCTTCTGGATGTAGCTCAACTTTGGTCGCCCAGACGCAAAACAGCACCTCATTAACACAGTCACCGGGACTCAAAAGAAGCACATTGCCCACAGCTTTGGTGTATGTCCAAAACTCAAAAGGGACTTACACAATTTGTCGTGTGCTTTTGGATAGCGGCTCTGAGCTATCCTACGTTTCTGAACGATGCGTCAACGCACTTGGGCTCGCTCGTTCACCCTCAAGAATTCTAGTTTCCGGAATATCTTCCGTCAAGGCCGAAACTACTAGAGGATTGGCAACGCTGCATATCAAGTCAATGGTGTCACTTCATACAATTGTTGTCGCAGCTCATGTGCTGGGCAAAATCACATCATCACTTCAACGGGACGACATTGACGAAACAGCTTTAAGGATCTACGATGGACTCCAGTTAGCCGATACTTCGTTTAACACATCTTCACCCGTAGACATTTTACTGGGAAATGAACAAATTTGGTCCGTTTTGTCAGGTGATAGAAAATATGACGCCGATGGAAATATTATTGCCATCAGCTCAATCTTTGGATGGATAATCACTTCAGTTGCAATGCCGCAACCATTAACCGCCAACACGCTCATGACTACTGTTGACATTAACGCCTCTCTTCAACGCTTTTGGGAGATCGAGGATAACACTGAGCATACACAACGGGACCCTGCGCACGAAAAGGTAGAGCAGCATTTTCTGACCACACATTCCCGAGACCCAGACGGCAAATACATCGTTGAATTGCCTTTTAAACACGAATGCCAAGAGTTCGGAGACAGCCTACAGGGCGCTGTCTCACGCTTCTACGCTGTGGAACGTCGTCTGCAGCGTGATATGGAGCTACGCAAGCTATATTCAAAATTTATGAGCGAGTATCTAAGCCTAGGTCATATGCGTAAGCTGCCCACTGAAGAATGCAACACATCAGCAAAAACGTTTTATATGCCACACCATCCAGTTCTAGGAAAGAAGCTGCGCGTGGTGTTTGACGGGTCATATGAAGACGTAAACGGGCACGCTCTAAATGACGCCTTACACATCGGACCCAGCATACAACGCAACCTTTTTCATGTATGCCTTCGCTTTCGAATGCACAAGTTTGTGTTTTCGGCGGACATAGTTAAAATGTTTCGCCAGATATGGGTTGCCCCTAAGCACCGCAACTTTCAACGGATCGTATGGAGAGAGGCTCCGAAAGATCCTCTTCAACACTTTCAACTCTGCACAGTCACCTATGGAGCAAGCTGTGCACCGTTTCTTGCTGTCAGAGTACTGGAACAACTAGCGCGAGACCACCAGGATGAGTTTCCCACAGCCTCAAAAATTGTGCTTGAGGACTTTTACGTAGACGACGTCCTCACCGGCGCTGAAACTGAAGACGAATTACTTAGCCGCCGCGACGAACTCATCCAGCTGATGTCCAAGGCTAAGCTTGAGCTTGGCAAATGGGTGTCTAACAGCAGCGTCATCCGCCACACCCTGCAAGACGAGCTCCAATTAACCAGTGCGGTTAAAGTTCTAGGAATGCTATGGAATCCCCAAGACGACGTCCTGTCCTACAAAGCTTCGCTTTCTACGGAGCCAGATGCTACTAAACGGCAAGTATTGTCAGATGTCTCACGAATTTTTGATCCTCTAGGTATTCTGGCGCCTGTGATAGTACAGTTCAAGATCCTTTTCCAAGAACTCTGGCTACTTGACCTGGACTGGGATTCAAAACTCCCACCAAAACTGGCTGAGTGGTGGCAAACCTGTCGCGACGATATCAACTACATAACCAACCTAAGGATTCCACGTTATGTACACAGCGAACCGGGAAAAATCGAATTACATGGATTTTCAGATGCATCCATAAAGGCATACGCCGCTGTTGTTTACAGCCGTGTAAGCAACGCAGACGGCACCTGCTTGGTGTCACTTATGGCAGCCAAAACACGCGTTGCGCCACTAAAGCAACAAAGTCTTCCTCGGCTGGAACTCTGTGGCGCGCTATTGCTCACTCGCCTTCTCCGAGCTGTTAAAGAAGGCTTGCATCACAAGGATATAGTTGTGCATGCTTGGTGCGATTCCACGATTGTCCTTTCGTGGCTGTCGCACACCCCATCGAAGCTGAAGACCTTTATTGCCAACCGTACTTCGGAGATCCTAGATGTCATACCACGCAGCGCATGGCATAACGTTGGCTCAAAGGATAACCCTGCCGATTGCGCATCGAGGGGAATGCTAGCAGCCAATCTCATGAGCTATGAGCTGTGGTGGAAGGGACCACATTGGCTACACCTCGACGATCTGCTTGCTTCAAAGCTGCGTAGTGGCAACAATCCCACAACAATTTTGGACACGCCCATAACGGATGGGCTGAAATCCTCTTCACTATCCAGCCGTGTTGAATCTGAACCTGAAGCGTCCCCGATTGAGTGTCTATCATTTCGAGTTTCTTCCTGGACCAAGCTGATTCGCTGCACTGCTTATGTTTTACGGTTTATGCATCGAGGAATGAAGAAACGGATTCCGTCAAGCCTCACACTCACGTTTGAGGAAATCAGCGAGGCCCGCATTTATTGTCTAAGGCAGGCTCAAGGAAGCTTCTCATCAGATCTACACCTGTTGCAAAGGGGAAAAGCTGTGGCAAATTCGTCAACACTTCGAACACTGTCACCCATGGTTTGCAAGAATGGCCTGCTTCGCGTAGGTGGGCGCCTCTCAAACTCGCTACTACCGGAGGAAGTCAAGCATCCAATTATTCTGCCGAAACATCATCGCATTTCTCTGCTTATTTTGGAACACGAGCACAGGATACATCTTCATCCAGGTGTGACAGCACTTTTCGTCATCGTTCGCCAACAATATTGGATAGTTGGCGCACGCAACATGATTCGTAAGCTTACACATGCTTGTCTCAAATGTTTTCGCCAACGCCACAAAACAACTGATCAATACATGGCGGACTTGCCAGCTGTTCGGGTACGTCAAGCATACCCATTTGAAAATACTGGGTGCGATTATGCCGGACCGCTTCTACTCAAGGTGCACAAGGGACGGAATCCACGAAAGGAAAAGGGATACATTTGTCTATTCGTCTGCCTAGTGACCTCTGCAATTCACTTAGAGTTGGCTACAGATCTCTCCACGGATACATTTCTTGCTGCACTTCGTCGTTTCATCTCCCGTCGCGGCAAGTGTACCCACATCTTCAGCGACAACGGTCGCAACTTTGTGGGAGCAAAGAAGGTGTTAGACGAAATGTATAAGCTCATCCTATCACAGCAGCATAACACTCAAGTAACCCAAGCGTTGGCCAGCGAGGGTATCAAATGGAGTTTTATACCACCGCACGCACCCCACTGGGGCGGAAAATGGGAATCAGCTGTTCGCTCCGTAAAGCTTCATCTGCGTCGTGTCATCGGGAACTCCATCCTCACATTTGAGCAAATGCACACCCTTCTGGCTCAAATTGAATCCGTCGTCAATTCACGCCCACTCTCCGCTACGTCAGACATCGAGGTTTCCTACTTATCACCCGCACACCTGCTGATTGGACGCCCTTATACATCACTTCCAGAGGGCGATCTTGGCCACATAGCAGTTAACCGACTGGATTACTGGCAAAATGTACAGGCAATGCTACAAGGCTTTTGGAAGAGATGGCATCAGGAGTACCTCACTACACTTCAACAGCGCCCTAAGTGGAATACGGAGAGGAAGAACATTGCTACTGGGGATATGGCGATCATTAAGGATTCAAACACACCCCCCGCCGCTTGGACTTTAGCGCGCATAATTGAAGTCTACCCAGGCAAGGACGGGCTGGTACGGGCCGTAAAGCTGCAAACTTCATCAGGAGAACTTGTTAGACCCATTTCTAAAATTGCCATCTTGCCTAATTCAGAAACTTAGTTTCAGGGTGGGCCGGGATGTTGAGGAACCTCACTACTAATTACAATAATTTGGTATATTTTATAGCATGTAAGATATTCTTTCTTGAGATGGTCTGGTCTGTTTTTGATCTCGCTCTCTTCCTCTTGTGCACGAGCTGACAACATAAAATAAAAGCGTGATCTATTCACCAACACTACCATAGGAAAGATCGAAAAATCTATATGGAAATAAAGGAAATATAATGATAACATCGTTGTTTTTTATTAGATAAGCATGATTTTTGGAATATAAAGTTTTCTCACAACTCTTGAATTACGATTTAAATTTAATCAAAATCGAACAACTATATCATAAAGCTCCCATATGATCTATAGTCGAAAATATGGAAAATGAATAGAAAAATCGTCTAAGCTTCGATGTTTCTTATCCTTTATGCATTTTGTTCGACATATTTGATGACTGCAAGGTTATATAAGCTTCGGGTTGCCGAAGCTAGCTTCCTTTCTTGTTTTTCCATATTGTTCATATGACAGCTATATGATATAGTCGTGCGATTTTGATGAAATTGAATTAGTAGTTCAAGAGTGGTTAGAAAACTCTATATTCCAAAAAGTATGCTTTTCTGATAAAAAACAACGATGTTACAATTTTATTTCGGTTATTTCAATATATGTAGATTTTTCGATCTTTCGATCGATGTCGGATTTTAATAAAATTTCTTTCTCGATTCAGCGGTTATTAAGAAATTCCATATTTTGAAAATCATGCTCGTGGGATTAAAAACAATGATGTTTTAATTTTTTTTCCAATATTTATATATGTATATTTTTCGATCTTTCCTATGGCAGCCAGATGAAGGAGTTATCCGATTTTGGTAAAAATTAATCAGAAATTCAATCGTAGTAAGAAAGCGCCATCTGGAATAAATCAAGTCGATCTGATCAAAAACAACGACGTGAGAATTTTTTATTTCAATATCTTGTATGGGAGCTATCCGATATAGTCGCCCGATCCGGCCCGTTTCGACTTACATTTCATTAAGATATATTTAAAACTAAGAGACTAGTTTACATAGAAACAGACAGGGGGCCAGACGTATTTAAAACTTTTAACCCTTATGTTAGTAACCAACTTTACCGACGTCTTTTAGCAACCGGGTACCCGGGTACCCATAATTCTGAATATCAAAAATTTTGTTTATTTTATTAAAAAAATTTTTTCCAAAATATTTTTTTCTTAAAATATTAATAGTAAGGGACAATATAAGGAAAAAAAATAGTGATGACGCTAAAAAGAAACCAGAAATAATAAATTTCTATAATAAATATAAAACTGGAGTCGACACAATGGACCAAATGGTGCGGAGATACACCAGTCAACGACGATCCTCGAGATGGCCAATGGCAATGTTTTTCAATATGTTAGACATTTCTTCACTTGCGACATATATAATTTATTATAAAAATAATAAAATGATAAAAAAAAAACGACAGAACGTCGTCAATTTATGCGTAAGCTAAGTGAGGAATTAGAATTGCCGATGATTGAAAATCGTACCGCGAATCCACAAATAATGCGTCACTTTTCAACAAAGATTGCCATTCAAAGTATTTTAGGCCATGCATTGACAGAAACAGTCGTGGTAAATCCTGGTCCAGAGATTCCAAAAGATAAAACCGGAAGAAAAATGGTTATAGGATCTTGCTATGTCTGCAATGCTTTGCCAATAAGAAGACGGCGAAAGACACGCAAGTCTTGTACCAATTGTCGCCAACCTGTATGAGACGAACATTCAGTAAATCGTGTCCAGTGTGTTCAATGTAATTAATTATATTGCATGCATTTATAAAAATTTTATTCACTTTATTTCCTATGCTTTCCACTGTGGGTACCCGGGTACCCGGTTGCTAATGAGGCGATGGCTGAAGTTTAAGCATAAAAAAAAATAATAAAAAAAAATAATATAAATTAAATGAACTCGCAACTAGCTTTCTTTTAAGTTAAAAAACGACGATTTGAGAGCTTAAAATGAAATATTGAACTTGCTTTAAGCTTTTCACACAGATATACCGCGGGGGGTACCCGGGTACCCGGTTACTAACATAAGGGTTAAACTGAGAGCACATGGTGCTTGTAGGAAGTGGCTTCGTTGAGTTTTAAATTTCTTAGCAAGAATTCCTGTTACTGATTTCTTTCTTTTTTGTCAGACACTCTTGTTAGCCCTAATAGTTAAACCACTTTTCGACTATCAAATTTTTTTAACCTTAGCAAGAATAAGATCGGGGCAAATAATAGAGTGCAGGTCCCCACAACATTTTCGAGCATTTTGTTCAGGCTGATTGACTTCGCAGACAGTCGCCCTTTTACTCGGCTTGCTACTCAAATGAAGTTACAAGAAATTGCTTGGCCTGAGTAGTGGGAAAAATTGTGTAATGAAATTTCTAGCGTCAATTGTCTTGGGTCGAGTAACCATACTCACTGAGCAGGCGACAAAGGCACTGGGTCGTGCGACAAAAGGACACAGACAGGACATGGAGACATTTGTGCAAAAATCTTACGGTTGACACTGTATAATGTAATATAGTGGAATGAACTTTGTGAGTACAATTGTGTGTGTTTTAACAATGCTTTCGGTAGACTTGAGCGCCATCCAAAAATACAAGCGGCTCCTACACTTACAAAAAATGCGTAATTACTATGCGCCTTTTAAGACCTCATCCTAATGCACAGTACAAACTCATTGTTTAAATGCTTTTCAATTAAATAAAATTAACACTGAATGTGATCTTAATATGAATTTAGCTTTTTGTACAGAAAAAACGAACTGACTTAAGGTAAATCCATAACTTAGATATTGGTTTTGGATGTACTTTTAATGTTATAGGATGGCTTACGACATATTCGCCTTCGGTCTGCATTACCTTCACTAACGAAGCTGGGAAAGAAGCTGAAACTTAAATGCTTTTAAAGGACTGACCTGCGCTTGGCTTTTTGCAGCTGTAATCAATATGCAAACAAACCATTTGCCGCATTAATTACAAAGTAATGCAGCACTGAGCGGGAAATGTAAAAATAAACGGCAGCTGGCCGCGATTTGCTTGATGACTTGCCCCAGGATTCCATCGAGTGGGAGGGAGGTCATACGGAGAGTGGTGGGGAATTGCCTTCTGATGGACGGGTGCGTTTGTGGTGGGGCATATTGAGGTCACGCCAGTGGAGTGTCTGTTCCGAATGACCGCCATGCGCATGCCAATGATGGAGCAATTAATTTGCAATTAAATCGATGATGCAATTGCAAATAAGCGCAGTGAAAAAAACGCAATTTTACATTTCAAAAAAACAAATGAAGACTCGGAGGATGGGGGAAAAATATAAATGAAATAAAGCAATATATTTACCAGCACTTAAAGGTTTTTTTTCAAGATTTTGAAAAAATTTCAAAAAACTGTTGTGAAGTATTTTTAAAAAGTCCCGAACTTTCAAGTTCTTCTTATTTCAAATAATATTTTTGATTCTGGCCTCTATCGCTTTTGGGATCATACCATATTTTCCCAAAGAACAATCCTTCTCGATAAATATTTCAAACAAATTTTGGGGATCTATGTGACTTTAATTAGTGCCATTGCAGATGGTATTATAATATCAGAAATAAGTTTGCAACTCAGTGAAGAAGATATCTTTATTATTATATATTCTATACTAGAGTCCTGTGACCGCTTCGCTGGTCAACACAATTTAACAACATTGACTATTATTTTGCAAAATTTTTCAAATATATGGAAGTATAGAAAGATGGTGATTTAACATTTTTTCAGTTTGACAATCCGGCCGTTTCTCTTTTGAACTTTAATGCACTGCAATATCGGTATATAGTCGTCAGTGGGATCATATTGGAATGCCAATCAATTGTATGATGCGAATGATCTTCATGTGCTCATTCTCCTATTATATTTTGTCTTTCTTCGCTTAAGTTCTGTGAATACACTTGTTGCTGGCTTGGATGTCTTGTGCGGCGGCCAATGTTTGCTCGTCTTCCTCTAAGCATTTTGGACTATGGACAGAGTGGTGAATTTATCCTCAAATGCACGATCCACATAATTTACACAGTTCAGCTTACCACCTTAAAGACAAATACCTGCTGTTAAAATTAAAAAAAAATTCTTTTTTCACAATTTCACAGTGAACAAAATATCGGTTTGTCACATGAAATTAATTGAGCAGAGAACACTAAGGTTTGCATAATATGTGAAAAAAAAACTTAATTCACTTGGAAATGATAAAAGAAATCCACAAAAATTGAGTTAAAATGCTATGGGAGCGTGTTTGTCAGTGTGATGAGGTAGCAACTCACTTTATATGCGACAATATTGCAATTTTCTTACGGATCCCTAATTTTTTTCAAAATAAATTATAGCCTATGTTACTCCCCGATAATGTAGCTTTCTATCGGTGAAAGAATTTTAAATCGGACCAGTAGTTCCGGAGCCTATTCGTTATAAACAAACAAACAAACAAATTTTAACTCTTTATAATATTAGTATACTCTAGATTAGTATAGATATATATATATTCTGATCTGAAACTTAACAACAGTTGTGTAGTTATTTCACGCAGTAGGTATATATGTAAGTCGGAACGGGACCGGGTGATATTATCGGATAGCTCTCATCAGGCCCGTATCCAGAAATTTGTTTCGGGGGGGCTCAATGACAAAAATCAATAAAAAAATGTGGACTTATTCGAATAAAATCAGAAAAAGGCAAATCACACATCAATCTTTAATCAGTACGTGACGTTTGATCTTTTATTATTCCTGTTAGGTCAGGTTTCTTCTACTAAAGACTTTTTAATGAAAAATCTTAAATAGAAAAAATTTTTGAATTCAAAGATTTCGGGAGGGGTCCGTTATTTCTATATAGATTTTTCGATCTTTTCTATGGTAGCTATAAGATATAGCTGTCCGATTTTTATGAAACTTTTTTCTCAATATTAGGGTCGTTAAAAAACTTGATATTTAGAAAATCATGCTGGTGGGATAAAAAAAAAAGATGTTATCAATTTATTTCCATTAATTCTATATATATTTTTCGATCTCTTCTATGGCAGCTATATGATAGAGTTGTCCGATTTTGATCAAATTTAATCCGAAATTCAATAACAGTTAGAAAACGCCATATGGAAGAAATCAAGTCGATCTGATAAAAAACAACGGCGTAAGATTTTTTTATTTCATTCTCTTGTATTGGAGCTATCCGACATAGTCGGCCGATCCGGCCCGATCCGACTTACATATATACTGCGTGGAATAGCTACACAACTTTTGGGAAAGTTTCAGCAAGATAGCTTTAAAACTGAGAGACTAGTTTACATAGAAACAGACAGACGGACAGACGGACCGACGGACCGACGGACCGACGGACAGACGGACAGACGTACATACATAGTTCGACTCAGATGGTGATGCTGATCAAGAATATATATACTTTATGGGGTCTAAGGTGTCTCCTTCACTGCGTTGCAAACTTCTGACTGAAATTATAATATCCTTTTGCTCTGCAAGGGGTATAAAAAATGTCATAAAAGACATCAGACACCTATGTAATATCATCTAGCTATAGAAAAATCGAAAAATCTACATATATAGAAATTACGAAAGTAAAATTACAACACAGTTGTTATACCCTTGCAGAGCCATGGGTATTATAATATTGGCCATAAGTATTTGGTGTTTTGCCGGCTCAAGGTCTGGGTGATATTTTAAACACAATTTATGTTTGTTGACCAATATATTTCGGTTGCTCCTCGGCAACCGTCTTCAGGGCAACTAATCGAAGACAAAAAACAATCAACATCAAAAATACACTTTTTTGTTACAATTTAAATATTTACATACTTTTTGACACGTCTGCGCCAAGTGACGTGGAGTTATAAACTAAACCTACTTCCCTAACAAATGTCTATATATATGCGCGCAGTTTTCTGTGTCCGTTTTGTAATTCAAAGTTTATATTTATATTTTTATGGGGTCTGAGGTCTCTCCTTCGCTGCGTTGCAAACTTCTGACTGAAATTATAATACACTCTGCAAGGGTATAAGAATATATTATCTTTTGTGAAATGATTGTTTAGTTTTCAACTTTTACTTATAAAAAAATAATGGTAATTTAAAGAAATCAGGCTGGGTTGCATAGGTCATGAATCTTTCAAAGGAATTTGGCCTCGGTGACTTCTGATGCGCCATTTCGGTACCACAGAACTCCGAGGGCGCACACCTCTAATGGCGATTGCATCCCTGTGATGACCTGATGTGACACAAACCACAACGCCAGGCTCTCAGCTTAAAGTTGGCTTTCGGCTCTCGGAGCAGCGCATATCCCGCCTGGAGCTTGCTTCTTGCGACTCCCAAAAATTTCGCCCAGCGTCGCATATTTCAGTTGTCATTTTAGCTGTTTTGTCAGTTTTGCGAGTGACACAACCGGCAACTCGAGAGTGGGAAATGGGTGGAGGAGGTGCCTCCGTCCTCTCCATCTGTGTGTCCATTGGAACGGCATATCCGCTGGCAGGCAACGCAACTGCGGTGGCAACTGCCACAAACAATTTTGACATTGCAGTGCAGAATTGCGAGGAGCAGGCCCCGAGTTGAACTGCCACCAGTGCTTTGGACAGAATGTGCAAGGTTATTGTGAAATCAGCGAAATTGCTGGACATTAACATGCATGCCCCAAAAGGTACCATAAACTGGAAAAATATTTAAAAACAAGAAATTAAGCTCATCTTCAACCTTAACTTGCTCCTTTAAAATAAGAAAAAACCATAGAATTATTGTAAAAGACTTTTTGCTTTTGCAGATAGCTTAATAGATCGACGAAGCATATCATATAGCTGCTATTGAAAAGATCGTCTTTTTTTTTTTGCAGGGAAACAAAGTTTTCTTCATAAAGTTGTTTTTAAAGATTCTCAAATTAATGACTATATCATATAACTATTGCTACAATAACAGAAAATTCATAGATCAAAAATTGTGTTTTTCTCTTTCGTAAGGCAAATTTGATATTAACTGGTATTCCAGAGCTTATCCAAGGCCCCAGCGATCCTGTGGTCTTCTCGAGCTACATATGTAGGTTGAAATCAGTTTATTTACTTTAAATACAAAAATCCAAATTGTTCTCTATTGTTAAACTTCTTGATATGTGTACCTTTTATGGTTACCGCTCCTCAGGTGCCATGTATACACATTTACTTAAGCGAATACCAAGGGTCCTCCTTGACCTGAGGAATGTTGTAGCGGATCTTCACGGGCGCCAAAATGTGCATAATCATGTGCTTGCACTCGCTGGATGCAGAAGGGGATTTGGGGAAAACCAGGGATTGGTTGATGCGCTTCAGGAGAATGTGCACATTGGAACCGTCGTAGGGAAGCCGACCGAAGACCATCGCGTAGCAGACGACTCCGCAGGCCCAGATGTCCGACATGAAAGGATCGTAGGCGACGCCTGCGTTGAATACAACGTGAGTGCACGAGAGGCTGCGGTCAGGGACTTACCCTTCAGGATCTCAGGACTGGCGTAGGCGTAGCTGCCGCAAAAGGTTTTTGATAGAATCACTTGGTTGTCGGGGGTCCGCGTATCCTTGCGCGCGAACCCGAAGTCGATGAGCTTTAGGTTCCAGTTCTCATCCAGCAGTAGGTTCTCGCACTTGATGTCCCGGTGAACCACTCCCTTGCTGTGGATGTACTCCACCGCACTCACAAGCTGTTTGAACAGCGTCCTCGACTGCGGCTCATCCAGAAACTTTCGCTCACGCACGTAGTCTAAAAGAGTCCCATTCTCAGCCAGCTGCATTATCAGGTAAACCCTACGCAATGGTTTGTTAACAGGGACGGTTTGACCCGGTTTCAGTTGGGCCAGAAAGAAAAAATTATATATTTAGTCAAAACACATAAAGTCCCTTCTTAAGTCACTTTTTAATGCGCTTCTCCCAAAACAAAAATTATAGGTAAAGATCGACCTAGAAAAATCGTTTCTGACTGAATATGATTTTAATAACATACTTTTATCTTAGGGAAAACTATTTCTCGTTGGTACAAAAACGGCATAACGACTGGTTGATAAATATTATGGAAATCTTACCTATGACTAGTCTCGATGCTCTGATAGAAGGTAATCAAGTTTTCGTGGTGTAGGCCCTTCACCGCCTCGATCTCCCGAGGCAGGAACTTCTGCGTGTACTCGGAGGGAGCCTTCACCTTGGAGATGATTTTGACGGCAACCCGCTTACCATACTCCTCCGAGAATCCGATCTTGACCTTAGCATAGTTGCCAGTGCCAATCACTTTGCCCAAAATAATGCCGTGCTCCTCGAGAATGGTCTTTTGCGGCTTGCTCTTGTCATCAGGCTTCGCCGGTAGTCCTGGCTGTCCCGGTGGCTTCGGCTGTGGCTGCGGCGGCCGGTCGCTGAAGGTGTAGACCTTTTGCTCCTGGCGACGACCCGAGTTCTGGTCGGTAACGAGGTCCTGCGACGAGCTGCCACCATAAACTAAGGGAAAGCGGATGGGGTTTCAGGTGTCCTTGGTTCAGATGTTCTGCTGCAGTGAAGCTAAGGTTACCTCCGCCCTGGTCGGGTCTTTTTCTTGGCGCGGTCGCCATTAAAAACGTGGGCTCAAGTGCGAGTTACCAAGGTCTTCAGTGTGCTGTTAAAATACTGCGGTAAATTTGTACGAGAAATTTTGAAAAAGCTGATATCTTATATATTATGACATACAACGAAAATGTGTATGTATCCCAAAATCTATTCAATTATTCTTAAATCCAGCATGCCAAAAGGTAAAACAACAAAGGAAAGCTTATAACTTAAGTTTCTAACTAGTACTAGTTTCTAACTGTACCATAGAGTTAATCTCTAGATTTCCGAATTTTTCATTAATTTTTTTATTTCTATGGCAACTCTACGACATTGTAATTTGATCTTTATATAAATAACTGTATAATATATATTATCGAAACAGAGTGCTTAAGTCAAGCTAAATGCATGAATCCCTAACATCATTAACCTTATGTCTATATTTCTACTAACTGTCTATACTTTCAAGAAATCTTTGGCAGCTTAATGCGATTTTCAATTTGAGATTTTCGATCTCAAAGAGCCGTTAGAAATATCAACATACTAAAAACCATTCTTGTAAGATAAAAAACAACGATGCTATACTTTTTATACCCTTGCAGAAGGTATTATAATTTTAGTCAGAAGTTTGCAACCCAGTGAAGCAGACATCTCATGAAAGTATATATATTTTGATCAGCATCACGATATGAATAGAAATACGTCTGTCTGTCTGCCTGTTTCTATAAACTAGTCTCTCATTCAGGCAACTTTAGTCTTGCTGAAACTTTACTAAAAGTTGTGAAGTTATTACACGCAGCATATAAATCGGAACGGGCCGGATCGGGCGACTATATCGGATAGCTTCCACACAAAAGATAAAAAAAAACACCGTTGGTTTTGATCATATCGACTTCATTTTTGATTTAAATTATAATACCCTCTGCAACTGTATAAAAATGATAACGTTGTTGCGATTTATCATACAAACATGATTTTTTAAATGTCGATCTTTTTAACGGCGATTGATCGTAATAACATTAAAGTTGAAAGACATTCATGCAGATTAACTTGAAAAAAAAAATACTTTACATTTATAATGTGGCAGTTTTTATTAAAATTAATTTCGTCACTACGTGAACTACTACTACCAACCCTCACCGATCCAAACCAGTTCCTTTTGTTGTTTCGCTTGAGTTGGCAGCACCCGCTCTGAAATTCAGTTACTTTGACAACGGCCAAAGTGCCAAAACAACAAGCCGAAAATTGCAGGCTGGTTTTCAGAATCTAAAATAACCAGGAATATAAGGCTTAAATAAAAAGGCCGAGATTTAAAAGCGACTATAGGCATTGATGGCGGAGGTGCACATAATTGGACAGATATTAAAAGCAGTTGACTTTGCCGAGCCGCACCTTTACTGCAAGTGGAGCCTGCAAAGCGGTAAGTTTTACCTTACTTACGGACTTATCCAGTCATAACTCCACCGCTCTTCGAAGGAAACGCTTGGCGCCTAGTTCAGGGCGAGGTGCAGGGCCAGAGCCACGTGACGGCGCACCGACTGCAGGACTGCTCGGACTTTGCCCAGCCCCTGGACATCCACTTGAGCACCGCCTCCGTCCAAGGCTGGCCCCGTCTGCTGGTGGAGGTGTACGCCGTGAACGTTCTTCAGCAGTCCTGGCCCGTCGGCTACGGCTTCGTGCACGTCCCCTCCAGTCCCGGATCCCACCGCCTGGAGATCAGCACCTGGAAGGTCGCCCCAAACGGTCTGTGGCAGTCGCTTCGGGAGCGGTTTGGGGGAGGAGGAGCAGCCCTAAGCAAGATTGATCTGCTGTACTCAGGAGTTGAGCGGTAAGACAGGGGCACTGTATGTTTTGAAAATTCATGTTCATGTAACAAAATAATTATAACAAGAAGGAAGCTAGATTCGGCAAGCCGAAGCTTATATACCCTTGCAGTCATCAAATATGTCGATAAAAATGCATAAAGGCTAAACATCATCGAAGCTATGACGTTTTTTCTATAAATTTTCCTAATTTTCGACTATTGTTTAATTCATATTTCAAGAGTTGATAGAAAACTCTATATTCCAAAACCATTCTGATGAAAAACGACGATGTTATAGTTAGTTTCCATAATTTCTATATAGATTTTTCAATCTTTCCCTTGGCAGCTATATAACAACGTTTTCAGATTTTAATGAAATTTTTCTCAATTCAAGGGTTATTAAAAAAATCTGAAAATCTCTGAAAAATTTGAAAATCATGCTCGTGGGATTAAGAACAACGACGTTATAATTTTTTTTTCCATTATTTATATATATATTTTTCGATCTATCCTATGGCAGCTATATTATTATAGCACTTGGAAGTGAAAAGTGCGATTTTAGCTCAAAAAATCGCTGTTAATTTATTTTTTTTTAAATAGTAAAAAATAAAATTAAAAAAATTCTTTCTGATTTCCTGTGTATTTATGTGGAGCCTTTGTGTGAAAAATTTGGAAAGGATCGGTTATATAATTTGAGTTCTGATGTTCACCGACTTTCAAAATAACTAAATAAATAGCTGCCATTAGTCGAAAACATGTAAAATTAATAGAAAAATCGTCAGAGCTTCGATGTTGTTTAGCCTTTATGTGTTTGATTCTACATATTGATGACTGGAAAGGTATATCAGCTTCGGTTTGCCGAAGCTAGCTTCCTAGGGCGTAAAGGTTTCAGTTGTAAATAAAGTGAACAGTATACTTAATAACTTAAGTGTTACAATATATAGTTTATTAAATTTTTTAAAATTACATATGTATTTAATTTTTTAAATTTATTATATCGCTGAAACTTGAGGCCTTTATGTCGCCAACAGGATTTAGTATCAAATTTTTTTTGTTAATTGTTCAAATCTTCGAAGATAACCCAGCGTCTCTGTAGATACTGATCGTATTTTTCAATATCTTCCCCAAGATACAAGCTGCAAACCGTGAGTTCTGGAAAAGTCATTGTTGAACTTAACTTGGTATTTCGAAAGTTTGAAGAATACGGCGTGGAGTTTAAGTAGCCATGAACTGGTGTTTACTTCTAACCATGCTGTGCATGGCCACATTCCAAACGCATTCCATTAAAATTGGAATTTCGCACAACTACAATACCTCAGAGACTACGATCCCGACATCCACCACCACGGAATCCACAGCCACGACTATTTCTTCTGTAAGCAGTGAAGCGAGTAGCTCCATCGGCCCGTTTCCAGAGTTGGCCAGTACTGTTGGAAACACGTTTCCACCACGAGTACAACAGAAGCCCAGGGCCACATTAGCATCACCAACCACGCTGGGCCCCCCAGTGGTAGCCCAGCCCTTGAACGTCACTGCAGTGCCAGCTTCCTTACCTATACCCAAGGATAATAGATTGTACTACTGCCCCTGCGATGTGCAATCGAACATATGCGACCTGAACTGCTGCTGTGATAGCGACTGCCCCGCCGAAACTCGTCAGGTGTTTGACTGCGTGTCCAGCACGTCTTTTCCGCAGTTGCAATCCCGACTGGAGGACTTCCAGTACACCCATGGCTTGCCAACCTGTCAGAACAACGACGGGTGGTTGTGCGTCTTTCGCAGCAACACCAAGCCCACGAAGACACATCCGCAGAACACTAATTACGATACTTTGCAGCGTTCAAAATGGACGAATTACTTGGGAGCTCATGACACGGAACCGCCTCAATCCCAAAATTACTATAAGATCGGACAGCCCCTGCAACTGTGGCAGCCAGAGACAAGAGCGTCTACTACTTTCGAGCTGCCCGCCGCCTACGGGAGCTCCCACTGTCAGCTGAAGCAGCCGATTCGACATCTGCAGCCGAGCAGGAGCCACTGTCGGATGAAGGACTCCACCCAGCTGCAAGAGAGTCTTTGGGCTTTGCTCAATCTTACCTCCACGAATCAATTGCTGCCCAAGCCCCTCGATCTAGAAGAACAGGATGTAGAGGGACTAATCATTCAAGTTTGTCAGAGAAAGGACGATAAGTCCTTACACTGCCTGGAGCGGGGAAACGAAACCCAACTAGACATTATAGTGGATAAAGTAGAACTTCTCGTGATCCACAATTTCACAAATATTCTGGAGGCGAAGATTTATTTAGAGGAGGTAAGTCCGGCAGGGGATGACGAGCCATTTTGGTTGTATCTCGAGGTCCGATTCATGGCGCCAAACGATTCGCTGGCCAAGCCAACTTCGGGCCCACTCGGTTACTTGCCTGGCTCCCCCGTTATACTCTCCAGAATTCTGCCCCAGAACAGCAGCGAGGACGCACAGCAGTTAAGCTATTTCCGTTCAAGGCGAAATCAGGAAGGGTTTTACTGGCTTCCACTGCCCTCCCGTTCATTTCAAGAAAGGATCTGCGAGCGCACTCGGGACCCCAGGCAAGTCCTGCGCTTCGGAGTCGACGTCCTTACCCGATGTCAGTTGAAGCAAGCAGCGCCCGTTCTCCAGGAAGATGCCAACCACACCGAATACTGTCAGGGCCTGCAAGCCCGAATATGGAGCCAGCTGTTGCCCTCCGATTGTAGTCACCTGGATGACCTCGAAAAGGTTCTGGTTTCGCAGCTGGGCAGACCGCAGCCGGACAAGTGGCTGCCCATGCAGTTGCGCTACCCAGAGAACGCCCATGGCAAGCCACCGCCCGTTCAGGCGTCTTACAACACTGTAAGCCGAAGTCTGACCTGTCGCAATATCTTCCTTAACGTTGGCTACGAGTTTCACGTGGCAGATGTGACCTTACTGGAGGGGAGAGCGCCTCATCAGTGGGTCCTGCAGAACACCCGGCTGGTCCTGGGACAGCGGCATGACCTGGAGTTCGACATTAGCGAGCCGGAGGTGGCACTTCCCCTAAGTGTCTCCGCCATGTTCTACCAAATGCAAAGTAAGGCTCTAAGTGGGACAGCCGGAATGGTGCACGCTCGACATGGAGTGCTACTCGCAATTCTTTGTGCATCATCTTCGATGATAAGATTTGATAAATAAAACACATATACAGAATAGTTTTGACAAAGTCCTTTTAAATTTTCCCCTTACATGCGGTCGTGTCGTGGTCATTTAACCTTACTTAGTTTTAAGCTGCTAAGTGGCCGCGTCCTTAACTGGCTCATCTAAAAAATGTGCGTTTGATTCGACCGTCACCAGGCAGGCAACCTGAGCAAAAAAGGAGTTGGTTATAGTTCAGCTATTTCTGATTGTTGGTTACTTTAAAATGTATATTTTGAGGCTATAAAGAACTAGCGTCGTTTTAGTTTTATTTATTTTTGTATCAGTGGACCTTCTTTAATCCATTGAAGTAATTATTGAATGTCGAGCAAAATTATCGCCAACATTACCGACATCAAATCGATCCTTGCACGATTTTTTTTTAAATAATCTCCTGTACATACAGTGGCTCTAAGCTTATTTTGTGCATTGAAAGCATGGTGGTGCAATATTTTCCAAACTGTATTTGGGTAATATTTGTTGACCATTTCGTTCTCAATCTCCACACAAATTTTGAAGCCGATAGCTTGAGGGGTTCCTTAGTTTTTCGGACAAAACAGCGCTCCTCGGAGTCGTTGAATATTTGGTTTAGTGCAACTCGGACCTTATCTGCCACACTTTTTTGACTAAAACTGCCTCAACGGGATTTTTTGGACTTGGCGATTCAGAAAAGTGAATTTTCCTTCGAAAAGTATCTTAAGATTGCTTTAATGGAGAAGTGGGGTGAAATTCGCGTAAAGACACCTAGAAAAATGTTCAAATCTATGTGAAATAAATTTTAAAGCCCTTTAAACAGAAGTCAGTTAAAAAAAGTTATAAATTTACGAATTAATTAAGTTATATAACATTAAAGTGCTTGCACGAAATAAGCTTGTGCGTCAGAATCGACCTATTTTTTAGTTTTTGTATGAAAAATTGTTTTGTTTTTTAAATTAGGAAAAACTTTTGTTATTATTTTAATAATATACGAGATTCCTAAAATTACTGCGTTTACATTTTTTTGATATCTTTGCTAGTTTAGTAGCAGTATCGTTTTAAAACTTTTTTTATTCTTGCACGAAATAAGCTTGGAGCCACTGTATATGCTCCAATTGTTCCTATGGCAGATTTACGATATAGTCGTCGCATTTTCATTAAATTTTATTGAAAATTCAAGAGGCTTTAGAAAACTCCATAACCAAATAAAATAACTCCGTTATAATTTTTGTCCCCGTTTATTTATTATTTTTTATTTTTTATCTGAGCTATACGATATACATACATACATACATATGTAGTCTGCCGAGTCGGAGCCTTCCGGCTTGTATACAATATACATAACTACACCATTTTTAATAACGTTTCATCAAGATAACTTTAAAACTTAGAGACTACCTTTTTTAAAAAAAATCAGACCGACCGACAGACCTTCACGTCTAGATCGAATCAGATGGTGAAGCTAATCAAACTTCCTACTGGCATTTTTTTTATGAATTTTTGTGGTAAACCGTATCTATAAAATGTTTATCTTAACATACTATGTAATTTTAAAGGCAATATTCAAAAATTATATGTTTGTTATATGTCAATATGATTTCGAAAATTTTGCTTGCCAAAGTCTATGAGTCTTCACTTAGGAGCATAAATCGGATATCTCAGGAAAGGTTACTAGTAGGGTTGTGATGATATGTAAAAAAAAATCGTATCAGTGATATATCGTTTTTCAAAAATCTATAAAATTGATAAAAATATTTATCACCCAAAAATATCGATTTATCAAGTATTTTTGATGTGTATTTAATTTATATATTTATTTTTATTAATCTACCAAATTTTAACAAAAAATTCTTTCTTTTTTAAAGCTTTAATGCTTTATTTTTTTTTAAATAAATACATTTATATATGTATTATCCTGATTTTAGTTTGCCTTTTTCCTATAACAAGTAATTTATTGTAAATTAAAAATGAAATCACTAATACGAAATTAGCGGAAAAAAACTAGAGAGCAAATCAAACCAATTACACGGAATTCGTGTACAAACACAAAATTTCGCGGAAATACACACAAATCCACGAAAAATACATTTTTGGCGCGCTCATCTCATTGGATCTGAGTGACCGTATTTGCAATAATCCGCCACCAGACGACTGCAATAATCGGCACATCACATCCAAATACGGTCACTCAGATCCGAATTTGTACTACAAATCGCATCTTTAATTGTTAATAACAAAAAAACGGTGCAAAATTTTCACTCTCCGCCAACGGATTTCGAAGTTTTAGAAAAAAACACATCGTTTCCATATTTTACTTTATTTTATGAAGCTGTATTTACCGTGCACCGCACTTGTAAACAATTTCCATAAATATTTATTTTTGTCAAAAAAATATGGATATATTGATATTTTGATATATGTATTATCAACAACCCTAGTTACTAGCTAAGTCAGTGTGCATAGCTAGGTTAGAGGTAACAGAATACCCCTGTGACGCATTTAAAATATCGATACTATCGTTTGTAAAACCGATGTTTTGGCAAATTTAACGTACGGTCCCACTGCGCTTAAGCGGTAAAAATAAGCGGGATGGAAGATTGTAAGTGGATTTTTAAACACAAAACATAGAATTGGTAAACATCTCCTCCATCAAACTCCTTAGCCGTCAATTTAAGCACCAGCATGTGTGACGTGGAGTCGTCCCTGCTCAACCACAACGTGAGCTTCAACAGCACAATGGTTATGTCCTCTGCGGACGTTTCGCTCCCCAAATTGAGCGTGACTCTTTCAGAGGCGGAGATACTGAAACTGCAGTTACAAAAGCAAGTGGGCGAAGGCTGTGTTTCCCTGGATGTATCTGCGCCCATGGAGTCTAGCCTACAAGAAAGTTCTACGCAGGACAATAAGGTCGAAGAAGATAGCGGGCGCATCATCGACATAGAGGACACATTGAACAACACACAGGATGTGACGAGCGCCCAGGAGCCGTCGGAGGCTGCTTCCTTCGATTACTTTCAGAACGGACTGGTCGAGCTTGGTCGACGCTACTGGACCTCTTCGGTGGAGGCTCAGCATTACACGAAAGGCTGCTACTGGTCTCCCGATGGGACCTGCCTTTTGGTGCCCGTTCACCTCGACGGGATGCATGTCTTAGAGCTGCCCACCGATCTCTACTCCGCGCCAACGGTGCAGAAGTCGCGTGTTTTGACCAAGCTTCAGTCGGCGGTGCATGTGCCTGAGGGCGGAACCGTTTACGACTGCGTCTGGTTTCCGCAGATGAACAGCCAGCAACCGGACTCCTGCTTGTGAGTAGGTAGCTCGCCTGCGAACTGTCCCGTTCTTACCGGTCCCATTTCCCCCAGCTGGCTGGCCACGCGACAGCACGAGCCTATTCATATGTGGGATGCCTTCGACGGCACACTGCGATGCAGTTACAGCGGGTACGATGCCGTGGACGAAGTTATGGCGGCAATATCGTTGGCCTTCTCCCACGACGGCCAGAAGATATACGCAGGATATAAGCGGTGCATCAAGATCTTCGATACCAGCAGGTGAGTCGGATAATTCACATCGTCCATTGGTTAAGCCTCCCTGCACTCAACAGACCCGGACGACTGTGCGACGATTACCCAGTGAAGTTCGCCATCTCCTGTATTGCCCAGACCAGCGAGCACCCCAATACCTTGACCTGCGGCAACTGGCACGGCTACATCCAGCACTTTGACCTTCGCTGCAACCCCAAGCAGGGCCTTCTTTTTACGCTGGGCGGGCATAAGAGCGGCATTACCCAGCTACGATATGGCGGGGAAGGACACGGAAACTGGCATTTGTTCAGTGGAGCCCGCAAATGCGGAAAGATCTTGCAGTGGGACATGCGAAATTATAAGAAGCCGCTAGCCGAGTTTCAGCGCCATGTAGACACCAACCAGCGCATCCAGTTCGACATCACCAGCGACCGTCGCTGGCTTACAAGCGGCGACACTCGAGGTAGCCTAAACGTTTGGGATCTGCATGGAGAAGGAGAGGCCTCCGTGCTGCCGATACACTCCGATTGCTGTAACGGAGTGGCCCTCAACCCACTAATGCCAGTTCTGGCCACCAGCTCGGGGCAGTACCACTTCACAGGCCCAAATGCTCATGGGGACAATGTTACTTGGAACGGCTCTGTAGCGACTGAAGAGGTGTCACCCGAGACCAATCCACCGGAGACGGAAGTGGTCTACGAAAACGCAGTTATCATGTGGTGGAGTGACAGCATTTCACCGCATTAAATAGAAACGTATTTAAGTAAATAATACAAAAACCTGGTTTATTTTTCAATCGATTTGGAAATACTTAAGAAGTGTCCTAGCAGAGACTAAGTTGAGTTCTCTTAAAAGGGAGTTGCAATGGGTTGTCTGCAAGCTGACCGCAGCATTAGCCTAGAAGCGTTTCAGGAACTCCTCGGCACAGGTTCGAGCCCTTGCATTAACTGCCAGCTTCATCTCGCTGATTTCCTTGTCGATCTCCTCCATAAAGCTGATAACGAAGTCTACCAGCTTGTGCTTGTACATCTGCTCCGTATGAAAGTTTGTAATCAGGAAGCTAATGTCGTACCCCTCGATAGGCTTGCGACGCAGAATGACAAAGGACTCTGCGCGGCGCATCATGAACCTGGTGAACTTGTGGCACAGGATGCGTTCGATCTCGTCAGCCTGCTTTACGGCAATGCTGACGCGCACCGAGTTGATTGATGGCTCGATGAGGACCTTCTCGCGCTCGTTTCGTGACACTACCACGGGCGTGAGAACCAGCTCCTTGCTGGAGCAGATCTCCACCTCAGGCTTGTTGTGCCGCTCCACCACCTGAGAGGGGAAGTCCTGCAAGCACATTGCCGCCGTCAGCGAGTGGCGCACGGCGGTCAGGTAGGGCTTCAGGGTGGCTGCCATTGTGTCTGAGAGTCTGTGTGTGTAGTTTCAGCACTTTTTACTTAATTTATTATGATTCACAGACCATCGGAGTTTATCAGTTGGAAAAAGTGTGACCTTGCGCGACTCCGAGAAAAATATATAATGTTATCGTTTCCGACGGCCTAATGTAATATTTTTTGGTTTTTTTCCCATTTCAGTATTTACTAAGAAAGTATTAATAAATACTTTATCTTAAAAAATTGGGAAATAACGAAAATATAAAGTATAAATCGCCAAAACACTATATTATCTTTCAGTTTTATGTTTAAAATATAATCATATTGTGCGTGTAAATCACTCAAAAACTATGGTAGAAAGCTTTGCAAGGGTTGATTGTGTACAAAATAATAAGAAATGCTATTGAGATTTGGTATTTCTACGCAAATATCGTCTTTTTAAATGCACTTTTCCGTTAGTAAATACTTTATCGGTAACATTACGCATTTGACTAATTAAGTATTTGAAGAAAATTCAATTTTACACCTTTTCTATATTAAAATAATTTTTCCATTTTTGATTCGTGCAGAAAATTATTTTTTTTTTTTATAATTCATCACCAAATTCTCCTATATAATAATGTTTTCTTGATATCCAATTTTTTAACTTTTGAAACTGTTACCTAAAACTATCCAGTATATTTTTGAATTCAGATTGTTGTTTCTTCGAATAGGAAGAGTCTTGTCTAACAACAGGGCAAACTTTTTATTACGATCTTAGTCGAGAAAGAAATCGGGCAAACCTGATGCATCTTATTTTTATATATATTTTATATGTAGAAGAATGTTGTCAGGGTTGGACCGTTGTCAGGCTTGGGCCATCTCCAAATTTTGGATATTCGTACTAGTGTTATCTGTTTGTGCGTGTCAATAAACTTCTATCGGTCACAAGAAACTCTCCAAGTGAAGATGGGTCAATGGACATCTCCAAGGCCATCTAAGAGAAATCCCTATCAGGAATATTCTACATAATATTTACGTAAGTAGAAAACTTGCCCATGGCCCAAAAGGGGGCGCTGCTCTAACCATCGCTACTGTTCTAAAGTATCGATAGGGTCCTCCTGGAATCGACTCCAACTGCAACAGTTTTTTGATTTGGCACTGAACAGCCATCATGAAGGCAAACTTGGTGGTGAGGGAAAAGTGGTCGAGATTGACGAAGCCAAATTCGGAAAAAGAAAGTATAATCGAGGAAGAATTATTGAAGGACAGTGGATTTTTGGTGGCTTCGAAAGGGGAAGTAAAAATATTTTTTTGATTCCGGTGCCTGATAGGAAGGCGGAAACGTAAATAAGTATAATAAAAGAGAAAATTGCCCCAAAAACACATATCGTCAGTGACTGTTGGGCAGCTTACAACGCTCTCAGTGCTTGCCAAAATTTTGAATACACGCACAGTACGGTCAACCACTTAAAAAATTTCGTTGATCCAAATACTGGCCAAAGCACACAAAATATCGAACGCACATGGCGAGACGTACGAAGCGCTGTCCCCAAGTATGGAAGAGTGGAAAAACATTTCGAAGGCTACTCGGCGGAATATATTTTTAAAAGAGCATATCACTCTCGAAAAACACGAATTCACGGAATTTGTTGCGCCATTGCTGAGCTATATAACCCATACAATCAGGATCAATACTCCGAATTCCGAACAACTCGCGGAATTCGAGCTTCTGGACCTGGAAGAAAATGCGGACGAGGACTGAATTCATGGCTACAAAAATGTTTGAATTATGTTTATTTTGTTTTTTAATTTAATACATTGAATTGTTATGTTTATTTTGTTTTTTAAGGCATCAAGTAAAACATGACGGCGGAAACATAATGGTTTGGGAATGCTTCACATGGTAGCATGATGGGCCTTTGCATTTGGTAGAAGGTATAATGCGAAAAGAGGACTACCTAAAAATTTTAAAAACCAATCTTCCCAATTTTATGAAAATCAAGAAAGGAAGCTAGCTTCGGCAAGTCGAAGCTTTTATACCCTTGCAGTCATCAAGTATGTCGAACAAAATACATAAAGCAACAACATTGAAGCTATGACGGATTTTCTGTTAATACAGTCGAGTCCCGATAATTCGAAATAGCAAGGGGATCACTTTTTTTTACGAATTAGACGGGAATTCGATTTATCGGGATTTTTTTCAACGGATTTTGTTTCAAGGGAATAGAATTTTTTACGAATTATCGCGATTTTCGATTTAGCGGGGTACGAATTATCGGGATTCGACTGTATTTCATATTTTCGACTATGGTTCATATGGCGGTTATATGTGAGAATTGTCCGATTTTGATCAAATTTAATTCGTAATTCAAGAGTCGTAAGAAAGCTCTATATTGCAACAATCATGCTTGTCTAATGAAAAACAACGAAATTATAATTTAATTTCCGTTACCGAATTTCTTGCTGCGGGATATCCACTGAGACGGCTTTACTAATTTTACGTTTTCTTGTCTCCATTTTGACCGATCCTTCTGAATTAGAGTGATATATCGTAACATTATGACAAACACTATCTATTTTTTTTATTTATAAAAAAAATTATAATATGACAGCAACTAAGCTAACTTTTGTTAGTCCCCTCGAATGCTTTATGGGGTCTGAGGTGTCTCCTTCACTGCGTTGCAAACTTCTGACTGAAATTATAATACCCTTTGCTCTACAAGGGTATAAATATGCTATGAATAAAATAGTAAACACAAAACAAATTACTTTTCTATAAGGCCTAGGTGCCATTAAAATAATTATGTAAGAGCATATTTAAGTGAAATTTTTGCGGGTTTATTTTATTTGGGCACCACCAAAGGTAATAGTTAATGAAAAAGCTCATTGACCCAAGAGTCTTCTCCACTGCGTTTTAGGCTTCTGGCTGAAAGGTAATAATAAACAAGTTAATATTGTTGGAAAAATTAAATTTTTTTTCTGATTAAACTGCAGCGTACCTCGTTATGAATTATTTTTGAATACCCGATAAAGCGCGCTTAACATACAATTGTAGAAAAACAGCATCCACCAATTATAAATATTTTATTTATTTGTTTTATGCACTTTTTTATACAATTGTTATAATCGTTTATGCTCGCATATGGTCAGTTTTAGGCTTGTATGAACTTAACTTATGCGTGAACTCAGAAAGTGTTATAAGCGGTCAATATTTATTGCTTGCGTTAAGAACATTTATTCAAAAATGTAGAATGTGACTATATAGATCCTCTCTTACTCAAAAGATACGTTCGACTGTTTATTGCATTGGAATAGACATAAATATACCATAAATTGAGTTAGTATTAAAGTATTTGGTAGCAATTGCATTGATGCTTTACGCTTTTTTGTTCAATTTTCTTGAGTATGTTTTGAAAGTTTTTGTATCTGGGTAAATTGTGGGCCTGTGCGTGTAGTGAATATGCCAATACCCTTTTTAGAAGAGCGTTATATTGTATATATTTATTTATAGAAGCCTTTGTGTTACACGAGTATACATTTATAACATTTTAAGATTTAAAGTTAAGCTAACCTTTAAAGCGCCCATTTGTGCAAAATTAAGTATACAAAAAATAGCAGCTTTTGGAAAAATTTGCCTAAATACCTTACTTGTTTTGCCTTATATATTTCTTTTTAACCCCCGTATGCTGTTGTTCAACCCACTTCTTAAAATAACTCGACGTTAGACAAAATATGAATCCCATATAATATTACACATATTTATATGCGATTACTTGTATGTTCTTTTCATTTATATTCATTCTATATATGTATGTGTCAGTGTTTGTGTTGTATGTAAATAAAACCAAAATGATTTTCGTGTGTTTTACATTGTATTTGATTTTTATTGAGATTTATAAGCGTTTCTTAAACATGATTTCTGTTTGACATTTATTAAATATGTATGTATAAAAAAAGAAACTTATAATATTCAGCAAGTACATATATATATATTATTAATCAGTGGCGGATCCACGGGGGGGAAATTAGGGAAATTTCCCCCCCTTGCAACCACAGAACCTGAAAATTTTACTTGTTTGCTATGGTTGACTTTTCAAATATAACCACTTTGTTTACCAAAAAATTGGGATGGATAATTTTTGTTTTATAATTTGTACTGTATTTCTCTCGCAATAATAAGTTTGAACCCCAAATCGAAGAATAAGTTCATTTTCCCCCCCCAAGAATCGTCTCTGGATCCGCCACTGTATTAATGCAAGTTAATGATAAAGAATTTATAAATGCATACATCAAATAAAAGTGTTGCTCGCAAAATCCAGTTCATTGATGCAAATATTTATTTTGTGTGTACCTCAGTCGGGTGCCAAAGAAATTTAAAAACTGAACAATCAAGGCCAAAACTAGAAAAATGATCAACTCAAAGCAATAAGTTTAAAGTATATAAAAAAAATTAGATAAACGAGAAATGGTAAATTAATTTTAAATTTTACGTTAAAGGCATTCATTTTAGATGGGCTTTACTGCATGGGCTTTTAAGTTTAAACGTAGAATTTCTTTTATAGTTATTTTCTTGCGTTAATTGCCGTAAGCATTCATTTCGTTTTCTTTTCCTTAGCTGTTTTCTTGTTAGTATTTTTTTAGATTTTGTGAGTAAATGTGTTGTTGCTATCCGAATCAACTCGCTCAGCGGTATCTTGAGATTTTCTCTTGCCTTTTCATTTGTTTTCATAATACTTGGAGATTTTGAAGTAATTGGTTTCAGTTTAAAGAGTTTTCTGCTTAAGTATGTGTTGGTGTATTATGCAGTGTTGCTGTTCTTTTTGTAATCGCCTTGCTTGCAGTGAGAAAGCACAGCTCTCGACGCCTAATCGGCCTATCTAGCCGGATGAAGCGATGGGGCTCTGCTGGCCATCTATGTCCTGAGCATGGGCCTTGTTCTGGCGCACTAATTCGGCACGGCGCTCCTGGAAGTAGAGGAAACGATAAAGGATTACTCGGGGCTCTAGTGCAGTGGAGGTGCAACTGGTGCAACCAAGTGATGATTAAACAATAGCGCAAATTGTCGTTGTTTTTTGCGAGAACGTACTAGTTTTTGAACTTTTTCAATTTTCTTTTGCAATTCCTTTTCGCGCTTCTGCTCAGCGGCAAACAATTTGTTTTCATAAATGCGCGCCTTCTCCTCGAGCTTTTGACATTCCAATTGATCGTTCTGCGATTTGATTTCGGCAATTTTGATTGTGTTCTAAATGAGGGGATAAAAGAAAAATGAAAACCAAAAATTATATGTACACATGATAAAGCACTTATATACAGATACATAGTTCAAGAACTGGGGGCAGAATAAAGAATAACCGACGGCCATGGATCCTATAGAGTTTAAAAATTTAAAGGTTTTTTTATCTTACCTATTAAAAAAAACTTGGAATTTCGAAAATTAAATTTATTTATAAATATATCTTATTAGATATCTTTTTTTTTTTATTTTCTGTGATTGATATGTCAAAAATACTTATGTTTTTCATGGAAAAGCTAATCAAAACCCTAAATCTAAAATGATATTTACAGCCAATAAAAAGCTCAATTCAAATAAACAATGGTTTTAAGTAAAAAGTTGAAATTCATGATACGACGATATAATAATAATATAAATTCTAATTTTTAGCTTTTAAATTGTATATGGTTTTTAATCGACATTCTATAGTTTATAAACCTCTCTACAGTTTTAAACCGATTTTACATATGGAGGATTAAATATTTTTCATGGTAATAACGCATTAAACCCTTTTCTATTTAAACAATCGATTTAAATAAAAAATTTGGTGTGCCATTTTTAAGGCCCGTAATACAAAACAAAAATGAATATTTGAATAATAAATCACACACTCACATGCTCCTTTAAACGATCCAACATTTTCTTAATATTTTCGTCGCGCAAGGACTGAGCAATCTTCAATTTTTCCTCGATTGCCTTCTGCTCGTTGGCCTTCTGCTGCTCAAGAGTTTCACGGGTCTTTTCAATCTCCTGCGCATGAATCTGTTTTTTCGAAAAGCAATTGAAACAGGTGGTTAAAAATGTAGTGGAGAAGAATACTGCAGGGCTTAACCTTTAGCTTCTCTTTCATGTCACTGATGATGGCCTCTCGTTTCTCCACATGCAGCTCCATTTTGGACTCCAGCTGCTCCTTGGTCTGAGTGATGAACTCATTGGTGATCTCATCCTTTTTGCGAGTGGCCTCTTCAACCTTGGCCAACTTGTTCGAAATATCAGCCATTTTCTTGGCTTCAAGAGACTGCAAAGAATGCGAATTTTGTATTTTAATATTCACTTTTTATATTAAAATTAGTTCAAACATAAGTCGATCTCATTGGCTTTGTCTGTATGTGTAAGATCGATCATGCAAATATTATTTTCAGTAATTGTATTGCAATATTGCGGAGTCTTATAAAAAATTTGACGAATAGATAGATAATTTCGACTCGTCTAGAGGCTAATCAAGATTTGTAAGTGTATAAGACTCTCTGCAAGTGTGCAATAAGTTAAGGAACATGATTTTTAAAACAAAAAAAATCACTTGTTTGAAATCTGCAGTTGCACTATTCAAGTGCAGCATAAAATCGCATGCGACTTACAACGCGACGCTCCTCGGCCGCCTTTAGTTTCTGCTCAATCTCCTCGACGCTAACGTTTTTGCCGGGGGTGACCGGTCGCTTGGGGACAGCCACGTTGGGGGCCGGTTCGGCCAGGATGACCTCATAGCTCAGGCCTCCGCGGGACTTCTCCTGGCAGCGAATCTCTGTGGCTGTGGGCGAGAGAGCGGATGGTATCGGTTAAAGAAATTCAATATTTGTGCATTGGGGTGCAGTGGGTTGTGGTTCAGGGTGGTTTTGGGCACCCTCCACTCTGTTTTCCCCCATTACAACAACATGACGTCATTTCTCAAGTTTCCTCCCCTTGCTTCAATGCAAGAAAATGGTGAAAAAAGGAAGCCAAGCTACCGGTAGACGAACGGAATTATCGAGTCAAAGTCCACAGTTAAATAAATTGCAAAGCAATCAATATTCAAGTAAGCTGTTGAAAATCCAAAATAAAACTATTTAGTTCCCAGTACTTAAGGCGTTAATTAGGCAAATATTTAGACCCATCCTCAATAAATACACTTTTTATCCACTTAGAGTCGCTACATTGTAACACTTTTTAAAGCTCGTGAAAAGTCCACTGAAGTATATACTCGTATGAACACAAAATAATATCAAACCCTACTTCAGCATCTGAAATAGATGGGAATGCTAAAAAATTTATTTTGAATAATTGTTTTTAATATAAAACGAAATCTTAAACCTATAGCTGTGTATGATTTGGAATATAAGTGCTTTACTTGTTAAACAAATAATATAGTTGAAATTTAGTAATGCTTAAATTATGTGTTGATATGGTTATCCTTATCGTGAATATATACACCTTATAGGTGTATGTATATAATTTTGTAGATTATACATTTGTTCATACTTTTATAAACTAAATATACAATGCATATTTTATATATATTTCAAAAACTACAGTGGCTAATAATATTAGTCAAAGGTTCGTTTGGTTGAGTTGAAAATGGGTAACTATTTTCTTAATTATTATTCTTTATTATGAGCTAATGTATGTATAGTGCTTACTAGCTTGGCAGAGGCTGATTTGAGAGTTCGGCTTTCATCCGACGATAGCCACTCCACTTACCATTTCTGTTCTCAAGTTCTTCAGTTATTTTGTCAACAGCAGCCTGACAAATCATCTTCTCCAAAATGGCCAGCAAAGCGGGGCCGTCAGAGTGCTGACCGTGTTGTTTGGTCACGTGTGCCTGTAGCTCTTGGGCAATGAAACCGATCTCCTCACAAAGAGGACACTTGAAGACCTGCAGAGCCTCGCCATTTGGCAATTCCGCTCCGCGGAAGAACAAGGTAAAGGCGGTCCCCCCGAAGATGACCTTCATGGGGCGGTAGCGCATTCGCCTCTCCGCGGAGCGGTTGTGGCCCTCGTCAAAGCAGCTCCCACAGTACATGACCTCTGACCCGCACACACTGCTTTTGTATAGTCGCCCCAAGTTACCTTGAGCCGTGCAGCCGGAGAAACCGGAACCCATTCTAAAGAAAAATCAGATATTGGGTGCTTGAAATACAATTATGCGTTGGTACTCGATTGTGTGGAACTTCAATTTTATTTACGTTCGGCTTTGCCTTTTTGTATACTCCGATATCGAAGAACAGGTTTTAGCAGACACAAAAACAAAAGCTCAGTTCTCACAGGGCTTATCTGGAAAATCAGTGCCTCCCCGATAACGAAACGGGATATTGGTAAATAATTGAATATATTAATTGTTTAAGGAAGCAAAGTCAAAAAGCTACTTCTGGAATCTGTTACAAGAATCGGTGATACTACTCGTATTTTTGGCACTTCTTTTTATACAAAACACTACGTTTTTATAAAAGTGGCAAAGAACACTTCCTTTTTGATGACTTCTAAAATATTTCGGTGTTCAGCGATTAATTATTCGTCCTGCATGATCATATTTATGTAGTCCGTGATTTGAGCAATGGTTGTCTCCGAGAAATCCGATTCCGAGGCCTCATCCTCCTCGTCGATGTCGTCACCGTCCTCCTCCAATTCGACAGAATCCTCGGCACCGTTTTCTCCAGCTGCTTCATCCAAAAGCTCTCTGTTAACGGGATGCGATTCGTCCCTCTGTTCAGCCAAGCCAGCAGACCCAGGAGCCCTTTCATTCTGAGATGAGTTGCCGCTGGTATGCACACCACTCTCCCCATCATCCGAGTCCGAATCAGCGTAGGGGATGTCTCCTGGGTTCAAGTGTGCAAAGCAAGGCGCACTGGGCTGCAAGCCGGTCGAGGTGGATGCTTCCTCCCAGTTTTGAACTGTCTGTCTGTTCACTGGCTGTTGCATTAGCGTGTTCCGGCTGCTCATCCAAGCTTTGTACTGATCGAGACCCTTGTAAAAGCGCTCCATCTCGTTCGAAGCAGGCTGCTGAGGCTTCCGGGATTGTTCGTTAATTGCGTGCGATTCCGCAGGCGATTCGATGGCAGAGCACTTTCCTCCCTTGGCAGTCAAGTTCCTTACGGTCCAGAGCAGACCTCGTGGCAGCTGGATTAGCTCCTCGTCTGCCAGCATAGAGCAGAACAAGGCCTCAATGAAGCCAGCTTTAAGCCACTGTTCCTGGTCGCCGCTCGACTTGCCGCCCCTCAACAGCTTTGAGCACAAAAAACGCGTATCACTGAACGCACTGGCGCAATCTACCGGCTGAATCTTTTCGGTGGGCTGACAGCCCAGAGCCTTCACCGGAACGGGGACTTGTTGATATCTGGTTCCCATCATGCCAGGTCTAAGAAACTTCCAGCAGGCCCTTTCCTGGTCAACATGCGGCGTCCGCGACGACGACAAGATGGTGCGGGTGTGCACCGCTGTCCTCCCAGAGCGTTGTGGGGCCCCCGCCGCTCCTATGGGGTGCGCATTACCACTGCCCATGATTGGTCTGCGTGCCATCAGCACTGGGCGAGCCGCCAGCGAGGGCGTGGCAGGTCGCCTGCCGACAGCCGCAGTTCTATTGGGACCAGGCAACACGACTCCGCTTCGGACCAGGCGATGAGAACCGGGAGTCCGGCCCAGACGCCGTTGGCGCTCGGCCATGCTGGCCGCCACCTCCTCTTCGATTATGCCGACGTAGGTCTCAACCCTCTCCGCATCCTCGGAGCTGTTCTGAGCGCGCATTAGGTAGGCCCGGTGCAGGATTTCCAGACAGCGGTCCGGGAAATCGGCGGCAGCCGTATCCAACATCTCGAGCCGCACCAGAAGTTGCGGCAGATCGACGACCTCCACGCTGAACGCCCGCCGCCGCTGATCCTCCCTTCCTGCGCTGTCGACCGAGGCTACCAGAGCCTCTGCCATTGTGCGTGAGCCTCCGACAGAGCGTTGCTGCACCAAGTTCAGATACGCGGCGTGATCCTGGTGGGCGTGGTGCGTCTCCTGAAGGTGTTTGTGCAAGTCGGCGATGGTGAGGCCGAGCTCCTCGCACAGCGCGCACTTGTAGCTCTGGGCCACGTTGTCCTCGCCCAGGTAAGGCTCTCCGCCGAAGTACAACTGGTACTCGGCGCGGGCGTAGTGCGCCTTTAGCGGGTGGTAGTACAGGTGGTTGGGAGCCTCGGGCAGCAGGCTGGCGTCGAAGCACGCGCCGCACACGTGGTAGTCCGCGCAGATCCAGCAGCTGTAGCGGCGCCCCGGGAAGTCGGCACGCGCGCAGTTGCGGCACTGGAAGCCGGCGTGTCGCTCCGGCGGTTGGCTGCTGCGCGGCTGACGATTGGCCATCGGACTTGCGGAAAGGTGTTGGTCAAGTGATCGTCACTGGCGCACTGGCGACACTGCTCCCTGTAAAGCGCTTAGTGGGCGAATGAATTGCAGTACAAGCGGTCAGCAGAGTTTGTTTATTTGTTGTTTCAGAAACTTGAGGCGCCTGTTTACATATAGAAAGCGAGCTAAGTCCGCATGCCCCTTCGTTTAAATCACTTTGCACAAACTTACTCGTTTTGCAATAAGCCTCAAACTCCACAAAATTCGATATTGTTGGAAAAACAGTTCTAACAGCTTCGCTTTAGAGAATTTTTGCAAAACAGAGGAAAGCTAAACATCAACCGTATTTGTCAGTGCTGCCAACTCTATTTGCTTAACCCGTCAAAAAAACGGCAAAGGGAGGAGGTGCACGTCGCAAATAAAATTATTTAAATTAAGTGTTGGTTAAGGAATTTTACCCCACAATAATGAGTACGTGTGTACATAGGTGCTGCGCAAGCTGGGGTTTGTCTGTTGGACTAAGAAATAAATAATATTACACAGATTGATAAAAATACAATAAAATAATTTTACATTTGTATCATAAGGCGTAATAATATTTTGTATAACGCTTATTTTTGCCCGGCATTTATACAATGAACAAAATATTTTATCGAGTAAGCTTCCTTAGACATTTCTTTTGTTGTTGTTATATTTCTAGGGATGAGTAGAAGAGTCAATTTTCCTCTTACATATGTGAGTTTTTTTATACCCTTGCAATAGGGTATTATAATTTCAGTTGGAAGATAATAATTAATTAATTTAAATTGAACGCCGAATGGAAAGAATGGAAGTAACATAATTTTTTTCCCAAGCTTTTTTATGAAATTACCGATCACTCATGTTTATGTTAAGAAAAAATTATCAAAAAAGGAAACTCCCTAACTTATGTAGTTAAATTTTCACTAAAAATTGTGTTTTAAAAATTGTATAAAAAAAAAAAAATACATCTTTTAAAACTGAAGACTTAAGAATTTTCTAAAAATATAGTTTTATAGCCTGTATACATAGCTGACTTGTAAGCTATAGTTTAAATTTATCAACTACTGAGTCTCAAATTTCTTCCCATTAATATGTCCTAATGCAAAAGTTTAGGTATCCTAAAAATGATATTACAGAAAGTTAAGATGTTAGTTTTGATTTTCGCTGAAAGGTGTTATATAATAAATTTAAAGATAATTTTCATAAATTGTATAACAAGCAAGTCATTAAGATTCGGAAACTGTTAGGACGGTTTCTATTTTAAAACCTCTGGAAATTCGCTTAAAAGACCAAATGAAAATTCTCATTAAAATAACAAGCACCATTATACAAATCTAAAGCAGCGTAAAATGCATCCACTAACACATGCGATGCTACACAGAGTTGGCCTCAATTAAATTTCACAAAATTGTTCGAAAGAGAAAGCTAAAAGGAAAACATTGCTTACTTTCATTTCAATTTTCCTGTAGTACACAGGGCAGCCTTTGAAAAGGAAAATAAAAAGAGCCGTCGACATTTCACACATTTAAATTGTAACCCTAGTCATCAATTTGTTCTCCCATGCAGAGGTCATAATCACGGGACCCATCATTCGTTATAGCTATGAGCACCGGAAGGGTGCGTGGGGGAACCTTTTTTATTTAAAGTGTATGTATTCAGTCGGGAAATTTAAATTCAGCTAAGATCATTCAGAGGGTCGTACCGACCGACTTTTAAACTAACGTTACGTATTTATAGGACACAATTCTGTATGTATGCAGACTATTGATATTTTACAGTCCTGGAAACATTTTAATTGCATTACTACATATTTATTTCAGTACCTTATAAATCTAGAAGACAGCAAGGCCTCACCGAGGCTAGTATCTATTTTTGTTTGGCTCAATTATACCCTTGCAGAGAAAAGGGTATTATAATTTCAGTCAGAAGTTTGCAACGCAGTGAAGGAGACACCTCAGTATAGCTTATATTCCCTTGCAGTCATCAAATATGTCGAATAAAATACATCAAGGCTAATGAACATGGAAGCTATATGATATAGTCGTCCGATTTCTATAAAATTTAATTCGAAATCTTTAAATTCCAAGAGTCATGCTTGTATGCTGAAAAACAACGATGTAATCATTTTTATACCCTTGCAGAGCAAAAGGGTATTCTAATCTTAGTCAGAAGTTTGCAACGCGGTGAAGGAGACACCTCAGACCACGTGAAGTATATATTTTCTTGATCAGCATCACAATCTCAATCGAAAAACGTCTTTACGTCTGTCCGTTTCTCTTCAAACTAGTCTCTCAGTTTTTAAGCTCTCTTGCTAAAACCTTACCAAAAGTTTTGTAGTTAATGCACGCAGTATTATGAGGAAAATATGAATGAAAATGAATTGAAAAATCGTCATAGCATTGACGTTGTTTAGCCTTTATGCATTTTGTTTGACATATTTGATGACTGCAAGAGTACACAAGCTTCGGCTTGCCGAAAACCATATTTTGAAAACCATGCTCACGGGATTAAAAACAACGACGTTATAATTTTTTTTTCATTATTTATATATATATCTTTCGATCTTTCTTATGGCAGCTATATGATTGAGTTATCCGATTTTGATAAAATTTAATCCGAAATTCAATAGTACATAGTTTGAAAACGCCATCTGGAAGAAATCAAGTCGATCTGATCAAAATGCAAAATAAATACGGGATAAATTGAAAACTTTCGCGAATTATAACTATTTTCAAAGCAAAATTTGAATTTTAGCTTTTTAAAACAGCTGGTACCTTCTTGTATTTACATATAACTTGCAGTATTTTTACATTGGAATGGTAAAGAAACATCGATATGTCAAAAGATCTTTACATTTTTACTATTTTTATACCATTACCCTGGGTATTTCACAATTTCAGCACTGGAGACTCAAGCAAACTATTAAATGATATCATATTTGCAATAAATTCATTAAAAAGTTAAATAATAGTCAATATTGATACAAATTTTTAAGAACGATTTAGAACATTTGGTAAAGCATGATTGGTATTTGAGATATATGTACATTCGAGACAAAGCTTAAATAATATAATGAACACATCTCGAACGTTTTAATTCGTTAACATTAGCATTAGTTAATGAGCTCAAGCAGAGGTATTCTTTAGAGTAATTGTAGTTCGCAGTTAAGTTCCAAATTCTTTTTTAGATTGCCAGACAATTTTCATATATTTCAGCAAATGGATTTGTTTTCCGTTTACAAAATATTATGTCCGAAGAAGGCGGAAATTTTGCACATCCTCGAGCACTTTAACTGATAAATCAAATTAATAAAAATATTGTTTCACTATCGTAGCTTTTTATGTATTTTAGCTATCATCCAAATTTTCTGGCGGTTTCTAGCTTTTTTCATATGTTACTTTAGCTTCTTTATGACCAGAAGAGTTGGCAACACTGCTCTGCAGGGGTATACAAATGATTCCGAGATAATCGCGTTTAAAGTTACAAGTTTGATTTGGTTTATAACGATAGTCTGTAAAATATCGATTTTTTCATTAAAATTTTTTCATTAAAAAAAAAAATTTCGGAGTTTTCTTTATAATTGTACACTTTTTCAAAATTTGTATTTTTTTGTTCCTGTGAGAAATCATTATTGCGGTCGAAGGAGAAGTCTCAAGGAGCGTGTAACTACCAGTTTCATTGATGTTTCTAAGTACGAGTATTTTAAGGCACCACCTTCACCATTTAGTTGATCTAAATCTGCTTATTCCATATTAAGCAACTAAATTTACTTACAGCCCAAATGTAAATTGATAGCCACCATTTTATAATGCAGACAGGAACACGAGACGATAAACGTTGTAAGACTTGTAAACTTTTTGGGTTTTTCTCTGAAAGATGTTGTCGCGCAGATACTCGCTAACCAACTGAACTGAACTGACGGGCAAACGGAGTGACTAAAGCGGTGATGATGCCGCAGCCAAGCGACACAGAAATATTGGCCGCACACTCGCTGAAACCTTTTCGTCCGGTCTGCAGAAGTTGTAGTTTTAATTTTTGTCGTGTAGCATACTTTTTCGTATGTGCTGCAGCCAAAAAACAAACGGTCGCTATACTTATATATGTATGTATGCATTATACATATTTGTTGCTAGCTTCCGGCGACAGTCGTCTGGCAAAAAACGGCACTTTACCGTCTGCGTTTTATGCCGATGGAACAGTCTTTTTAAGGGGCTTAATTGCTTTTGGTTGCCAGCTGAGTACGACGATATCGCCAACGCGAACAGCTGATGAGTCAGCCGAATACAACTAAGCTGGAATCAGGCAACAGCAAGGATTATATTGGGGATTGGCTATTTGGAAGCTCTATGACGAAAAAATCAGAAACGAAACTCTGCACTTAAAAAGACAAATATGTGAGAGTCAAAATAAAAATATGAGGCTTTTCAAGTACAAATTTAACATTTTTTGCTGTTAAAACTGAAGGATGCAAAGATACTAAGCTGACATTTTTGGTACTTCACGCAAAAGTGCTATTTAACATAAGAACCAAAGCCAGTTGATATTTTAGAACTTAAATTACTCATTAGATACCTTTGTAACACGATTTTTTTTATCGGATTGTCCCTATAACAGCTATATTATTTGTTCGACCGATTTTTATTAAAGTGAATTCGAAATTCAAGAGTCATTCGGAAAGTCTATATTCCAAAAATCATGCTTGTACGATAGAAAAACAACGATCATGAATTTCGGAAGCTTCTTTGCCAGCTATAAGATAGATCTTTCGACTTCAGTTTACTCAAAATTACTCAATTTTATATACGTTGTTTCAAAAATGAAATATTATGGCAGCTATAAAATTTAGCCGTTTCATCCTGACCGTTCCGGCATATAAACTACAAGTCTTTGTTAAAGTTTTTATACCCTTGCAGAGCAAAGGGTATTATAAATTCAGTCAGAAGTTTGCAACGCAGTGAAGGAGGCACCTCAGACCCTATAAAGTATATATATTTTTGATCAGCATGACGATCTGAATCGAAATCCGTTTGTACGTCTGTCCGTCGGTCCGTCTGTCCGTCTGTCTGTTTCTATGTAAACTAGTCTCTCAGTTTTGAAGCTATCTTGCTGAAACTTTCCCAAAAGTTGTGTAGTTATTGCACGCAGTATATAAGTCGGAACGAGCCGGATCGGCCGACTATATCGGATAGCTCCTATACGAGAGAATGAAATAAAAAATTCCCACGCCGTTGTTTTTGATCAGATCGACTTGAATTCTTCTAGATGGCGTTTTCTAACTGTTATTGAATTTCGGATTAAATTTGAACAAAATCGGATAACTCTATCATATAGCTGCCATAGGAGAGATCGAAAAATATATATAGAATTAATGGAAATAAATTGATAGCATCGTTGTTTTTTATCCCATGAGCATGATTTTTTGAGTATCAAGTTTTTTACCTAGCCTTGATTTATAAAAAAAAATTCTCAAAAAATCGGACAACTATATCATATAGCTGCCATAGAAAAGATCGAAAAATCTATATAGAATCAACGGAAATAAAATGATAACATCGTTATTTCCCATCAGAAAATCATGATTTTTGGAATATAGAGTTTTCTAACGACTCTTGAATAACAAATAAAATTGCATCAAATTCGGACGACTATGTCATATAGATGCCATATGAACAATAGTCAAAAATATGGAAAATTAATAGAAAAGTCGTCGTAGCTTCGATGTTGTTTAGCCTTTGTGTATTCTGTTCGAAATATTTGATGACTGCAAGGGTATATAAGCTTCGGCTTGCCGAAGCTAGCTTCCTTTCTTGTTATTAATTAAATTAAATCTCGTTTGCGTCAAAACATGAAGACTTCCAGGCCCACCGTGGTTATCTATCAAGAATGTAACTTTTTATGGGGTCAGTTTCCTTACGTGCCCTAAGAATAAGGAAAATAAAAAAAATTAAAAGTCAATAGGAAAGAGAAAAGAAATCCCCAAGCTTCGAACTTTGTTGGCCACTGCAATGCATCACCTTGGAAATGTTGCTAAATGGCTGTTCAACTACTACATGAACCTGTATATAGGTAGAAACACGTACAGAAAAGGCTAATGCACTATTGATTTTTCGATAGTTATTCTGGCCCTCCTTTTATCTACATTTACTTTGTGCCCCTTGACGCAAAAGTTTTTCTTCTGGTTCGTATGTTTCGAATTTCGAAAGCTAGGTCCGATTCTCTGATATTAATACCCTTGCAGAGCCAAGGGTCTTATAATTTCAGTCAGAAGTTTGCGACGCAGTGAAGGAGACACCTCAGACCCCATAAAGTATATATTATAATACTAAACTACCATAGTCTCTCAGTTTTTAAGCTATCTTGGTGAAATGAATGAATGAATTTAAAAATTCTCACACCGTTGTTTTTGATCAGATCGACTGGATTTCTTCCAGATAGCGTTTTCTAACTACTATCGAATTTCGGATAAAATTTTATCAAAATCGGATAATTCTATCATATAGCTGCCATAGGAAATATCGAAAAATCTATATAGAAATAACGGAAATAAAATTATAACATCGTTATTTTCAGACAAGCATGATTTTTGGAAGATAGAGTTTTGTAACGACTCTTGAATTACAAATTAAATTTCATCAAAATCGGATGATATATGAACAATAGTCGAAAATATGGAAAATTAATAGAAAAATCGTCTCAGCGTCGATGTTGTTTAGCCTTTATGTATTTGGTCGACATAGTTGATGGCTGCAAGGGTATATAAGGTTCGGCTTGCTAAAGCTAGCTTCCTTTCTTGTTTTTAATGTTATTTATATTTACAGAACACGTCTATTCTCGATTCCAAATAGGCTTTGAAATCAAATCGTTCACACTTAATAACCTTTGTTATACCCGCTACTTGTAAAACCTTTTTTCTTTTAGGGAGCTTAAGGGGGATTTTTGTTACGATTAAAATCGATTTTTATGATTAAAATTGTATACAACTATAATAAAGACCAAACAAATCGAAACCATTGCAAAATGTATCTACTCATATTACATATAAATTTAAATTGAGAAAAAACGCAAATGTTAAGAAAAAACTTTGTTGATATGTATTATGTAAAGACACCTAAAAATCTTTTTAGTATTCCCAGAAAAGTTTTCTTTCACTAAGCTGCCCAAAGCCTAATTTTATGAACATTTTAGGCTTGGTGTATTTGCTATTTGCCTTCGCTAGTTTGTTCGTGCTGGATCAACCCCCGGGACGAAAGTTGATGATTTTGTGTGCCCAAGATTGTTTTATGGCCAGCAGTCATTTACTTTATTGGTCTCCAACATGCAGGTAACCTCGTACTCCGAACCACATGTTTTAGGAGGAAGGGTAGAGTATATTGCCAGTCGTAACTAAAACTGGCGCCATGAATCCAGCTAGGGAAAATAGCCGCAGCTCGAAGTTCACTATTATTTAGCATTCACCTATTTTTTCAGCAATTGGAAGTGAGAAGTGCAATTTTAGCTAAAAAAAAAAATCGCTCTTTGTTTTTTATTAGAAAATAGAAACAAAAAAAAAAAAAAAACTGTTCCTAATTACCTGTTAATTAATTTGCTGAATTTGTGTCAAAATTTAAAAAGGATCGGTTCAGTAGATTTTGGGTTCTGATGTTCACCGACTTCAAAAATAACGTTTTATGGAAAATCGATTTGAAGTTTTTTTTACGTCAAAATACGCCTAAATTGTATCGTTTAAAACGCTTTAACTCCGTTAGTTTGATTCTGATTGACTTTGATTTTACACAATATTCTCGACATATTGGTCATTTAGAAAAAAAATTTATAACCTTACCCCCCCTTTTCAATTTACTAAAAATTTGGCATTTTCATAAAGTTGCTTTTTCTAAAGCATAATCCCAGTGTTTGTCATCCTTTTTTAGTTTTTTTTTTGGGTCCAGAGGTTTTTAACGGCCATATCGTTTAGTTCGAATAGAAGATATCAAAAAATTCGGAAAAAAATACCTCGACGTTATTTTTTTATCATAAAGGCAGAATTTTTATCTAGATGGAGTTTTCCGAAGACAGTTTCGAATTAAATTTCAGGAAAACCGGACATAATGCTTATAACGTCGTTGTTTTTATCACACAACCATGATTTTTGGAATATCGAGCTTTTTAACTACGATTAATTCAAGAAAAAATTTCGTAACAATATGTATATTATATTGTTACACCAAAAACCTTCCGCAGAAAAGTTAAAAAAATTTTAAATTAATTTGTAAACATTATAACATCGTTGGTTTTCATCATCATTTTAAAACTATTCTTGAAATTTCGAGTTGTTAGGTGTTAATCATCCATGCATTTTGCTTTAATTTAAGCAACTAGTTTCGACAAAAACTAGTAAAAAGTTTTTCTATAAAGATCGAGCTACTATAAATTCGCAAAATTGGAGATGAACAATAAGACTACTTTATCGACAACTTGGAAAGAAAAAAAACTAAAACCAAAAAAATTTATGAAAAAATCTTTTTACTCTTTATTTGAGATGACTGCAAGTGTACGAGTATATCAGCTTTGGTTCACCAAAGCTAGCTTCCTTTCTTGTCTTTGGCAAGAAATTAAATAGATTTTTTACAGAAAATATGTTCAAGCATTATTAGAAACGTATTTTAAAATATTAAAATGATTACTGACCATTTCAACATCAGTAATTTCTTGAACCTAAAATACACAAAAAACAACTGAAGAAACTCGTAGTCTCAAAATGCCCCAATTAGAAGATAGACTTTCCTTTCGGCTTTCGGAATTTTTATTTGTGGCTTACTTCCTGTAAATTATAACTTTTAAAACAGTATACTTACTTATAAATTTAACTTTCTTGCTGAGGCGAGGCTGCTTCGACCGTATTTTATTAGTTTTCTTGATTGGCGCTGATCTTCTTGACACTAATAGTGTATTTTAAAAAATATATCAGCATATTAAAAACAATGTTCAACTTAATTTAAGCGCTCTTGGTAACTGTTTGACCTTGTACTTGTAAAAAAATATTCATTTTTTGGAAGACTCCATCACGTACAGACTGGTATGGTGGGTATGGGACAAGATACGGTATATAGGATGTTTAAAATACAAATATGAACAAATAATTGCGTTAGATTCTAAAATAAATTTGATATCACAGGACACATTTATAGTTTTCGACATTTCTTTAATATCTATATTAGGCATGGGGAAAAATAGAACACTAATTATTTAAAGTTAAAAATTTTGTAATAAGAGCTAGAATGTGGACGGTTGTTTCAGTATTTTTTTCCTGAGTTTGTTCTTAAATATGTACTGCTAGTCATGAAGTCTTCCACAAGGGTAAATAAATTCAAAATCCGTCATAGCATTAATGTTTTTGAATTATTTGTTTGTTTTTATTTTTTTGCCACTCCCCAAATTTATGCTTATAAGACATGAGAGCCTATAGTCCCCAAGTGCTTTTTTTGGTTGGTGATGCACTTCGTTACTGTAAACTAGTGGCCCCTTGTAGTGTTTGTTACGCTCGAAGCCCTATTCCCTTGGAGAGATTGCGAAGAATTAAAAAAAGGATTGGAACAAACGGACATATCAAAACTATATTCATACCCGACACAATACTAAGACTCGGTAATAGAAATCTTTTAATAATTCATGACATTAAGGGTTCCAAAAGGTTCATGAATATCATACAGATTTAGTTCTACAATGATTTAAAATAAAAGAAATATAGTCCCTCGTACTTCTATTAGGCACGTCGCAGACATCATAGTAACTAAATAAAATAAAATAAGTGCCAAGCATTATTCTACGGTTTTTTAAAAGATGGTTAAATAAGTCTACTAGAATAAGATGGTAATAATAGCTTAGCAAATAGTAAGGGGTTCCTTACACAGTTTCAGTCGGTCTAGTATACATATGTACATCTTATTGGGACTCAGTGGCGTAGATAGCTTTTTGATATGGGGCGGGGGGGGGGGGGGATATGCACAGTCATCGCGTAAAAATGTGTGTTTCTTTTTCAATTTTGAGAGTTTTACCATTAATTGCCGTATTGCACATTGAGGCAAAATAAATATTGGCGCTTCAAAAATGTTATGCTTACATTAAAACACATGCCTGGAAAAAATTCGATTTTATCATCTTATAATTCTCAGACCCAAGGGGGGGATTTATCCCCCTGATCCCCCCCCTATCTACGCCACTGTTGGGACTCCAAAGTTTTGAACAATGATGCAGGATTGAACGGAGAGTTTCACAACACTATTGTTGTGAAAAAAGCAATTAGATCCAATTGTATGTATGAATTGACGGAAATTTCTCCATGTTGCATTCATAACTTAACGTCATCTGAATACATGAGGACACACAATTTGTCAAGAGAAGTGGACGGTAGATACAGAGTAGAATAAGTTAATAAATAATGTTAAGAGAAGTGGCCCAACATCACTTTCTTGAGCGACGCCCTAAATAACTCGGATCAAATCAGAGATTAAGCTTTTAAAGAAGACTTGTTATGCCCTAATCATCTAATAACTCTGAGTCTATGGCTTTGGAGTGTCGGACAGCTTGGTGGCAACTCTCTAGTTGCTTTATTTCGATTTGTTTCCCCATTCAAGTGGGGAGTATATAGTTTCTAAGGATAAGGTAAATAATTTGTTTATTGGCTTAGGTAAATGGGGTGGCCTAAGTTTTTGGAGATTTAAGAAGCCAGAATCAATACTTAATTAGGTGAATTAAATTTGAAACATTTAGTGCCAAATATTATAATATAATATATAAGTCACATATTGAAACCTCTGTCATAGCCTCTTACGTAATATGCGCATGACTCTTAATGTAACATCATTTAAATATGAGAGTAATCAAATTTATGTTTAAATTATATTCTCGATCTTATTCGAGTAATATTAAATTTATGTATATATATTATAAAATGTATTTTTGTATAAAATCACTTTAAAATTCAATTTAATTTGTATTTAATATATTATCAGTTTCATGTTTAAGTAAGATCAGACTGATCTGATATCAGTTTACTATTAATATAATATTAATTTGATATTTCTTACAGCATCAATTTAACATTCAGTATACAGTAATATCAATTTTATATTCAATAGTAGGTATATAGTTATATCTATATATAAAATAGGTCAAGAAAAAAATAATCCATTATTTGTTCGTGAAATTCAAAGCTTTTTTTCATGGTTAGAATTAACCGATTTATTTAAAATAGGCACCATTTTTTTCTTCAGTCGATTGTCATTTTGATGGTAATTTCTTAATACCCCTCTCATAAAATCCTTCGTCCCTATTTTCAAAAAAACTAAAACCTATCTAATCTATTCTTCAAATAATGGATTACTTTTTACTTGACCTATTACACTGTGCGACAAAATTTAACGAAATGTTTGTTTGAGTTACTTTTTTGATTGTTTTCGGTTAAGGGGCATAAGTTATGCACAAAAATATTTATGCCACCTTCTAAGTGATAGGATTTCTTTTTTTATGATAAATTTTATGAAATTATTATTATGAAAATATTTAACACAAAATTTTATTTTTTATTTTATTTTTAATAAACTATTATTTTTTTTAAAAGTGAATTTTTTTTCTGATTTTTTTTGGATTTTTCAGAGGTATCCTCGCGTAACAAGTTCCATACGTAGTCGCCCAGAGTATAGAGCTGGGAGAAAAAATTTTTAAAGCATTGTTATAAAAGCCTAACGGTATATTTGCTTAATATATTTTAATTAATAGACATTGAACTTGCATAAAACGCTTATAACGGTGAAAAAATATTTTCCCAATATGGTATTATAAGGCTGTGAAATATGCAAAAACACGCGTTTTTGGGACCTTTGAGTGTGCGTAGAAGCTGATTGGCTATTGATATTAACAAATCCAAAAACTTGTATTCTTATTTTGACTAGTAGAAGTGAAAAATAAGAAAAAATCAACTCAAACATTTTTTTGTCGCACAGTGTTATTTAATATATATCTCAATATATCTCGGGAACTATAAGAACGTCGATATTGGGAGATAATATTGACGAAATACGTCTGTTCGTCTGTCTGTTTCTCTGTAAACTAGTCTCTCAGTTTTAAAGCTACATATGTATCTTGCTGACACTTTCCCAAAAGTTGTGAAGTTATTGCACGCAGTATGTAAGTCGGAACGAGCCGAATCGGGCGACTATATAGGATAAAATATATATATTTAAATAATGGCAAAAAAAATTATAACGTCGTTGCTTTTTGTTCCACAAGCATGATTTTTACAACATCAACTTTTTTAACTACCCTTGAACCGAGAAAAAAAAATTTCATAAAAATCGGACAACTTTATCATATAGCTGCCATAGGAAAGATCGAAAAATCTATATAGAATTAACGAAAATAAGATGATAACATCGTTGTTTTTCATCAGACAAACATATTTAAATCACGAAAAAATGTCATCAAAATTGGACAACTATATCATCGAAAGATCTATATAGAATTAAAGAAATAAATGGAGAAAATGTTTTGGTTTTAAAGGCCAAAAAAAGGGCTATGTTTGATTTCTTCTTTTTTTGCGGCGAAATGAGTAACTTTATTTTATTGAGCTTAATTACATGTTATTGCTCAACTTTTGAAGAGTATTAAAAAAAAATTATTAAAAAATATTTTGAAATAAGCCTGTGGTTGTTAATCTTTCGAAGCGCCTTAAGAAAAAGTTGTTTTGCGTTGAACATCATAGGTCGTTAACGGATCATCTTACAAAAACAATAATAATATAATAATAAAATAATATATAATACTATAATATAATATACTAATTGTTAATGGAGCTATAATCTAATTAAATGACAGTTTCTATAATGCTTTCGAGGAATGACTGAACGAAAGCATTTTTTGACGAAGTTATTCTGCGGACATCTCGGAACAAAATAATGAAATGAAAGTTGAGTAATTTAATATAGGCGTCTGTTACGTGAGCCGAATGCAAACAAACGAAGCTAAGAGGCCCACTACATAGCTGAATAACAATGAAAAATGCGGCTGGTTCCTGATAGAGCTAACCATTAGCACAACCGAAGATAAAATGTTGCTTTAAGATTTCAGAATAATAATGACTCTTTTTTAAAATTTTGCAGAACTACAAGAACAATAAGATGGTAAAAGAAGTAAGCCCTTTTTTGTTTATGTTTATTTATAATTTAAAAATGGTTAAATCATGTAAAATCATGTTAAATCACAAGGGTATGTTAAAAGACATAAAAGATACAAAATATATTCTTGATCCCATTGAAATCATCATCTTAGTAGTGGGTATCTGATAATCTAGGCTCTTAGTTGCAAATATTAGTTAGTTAGCTGCAAAATAAACTGAAAAGAAAAGCCAAAAAATGAATCAGAGTTGCCTCCCAAAGCTGTCAAGTTAGAACTAGTTACATATGTACAATGTGTCCTTGTGTTCTTTTATTAATTTGAGAAAAAAGTGAACCCCTTTAAAATATATTCAGTTCGTATTCGTTGGTATTAATAGTTAAATACCGGTATGAGTTACGGCATTGGACCGTACACCTCGCACATCCTCTTACGAAAGTTTATACTAGATTTACCCCAGGCCACACGAAGATCCGTAATGACAACCATAAGGATTGCTATGTGCCAAGCACCTTAATCGCTTTCATTGGCAGTGAACATTCCCCACCCGTAGCAATAGGTAATTTCGCATGTCGTCAGCAGTCCCTCCATACATGGCCGTTTCCACTTTTTTTTTCTCATGGAAGACCCGGCTCCGTCAATAAATCAATAAGTGCCGTCCTTTGTCGTCGTTTCCCTTGTGCTCGGTAGTCCGTGTGCATATTGCGCAATCACTTCGCTGTGTAAGAGTGTTTGCCGTTGTTTGCGGCATTTACTGCGTGTTAATATCCCAATAGAATAAAAATAAATATAAAAATCAGCGCGTTGTTGAACTAATCGCGTAATATAGACATTCAACTGCAACTAAATGTACCAGGCAAGTCCTTTGAGAAAGTATGTACTGCTGAAATTAAGTTCCAGCTCGACCATCGGCTGATGACTCACTGCTCGCCGGCTGACTGGCGCCGTTGGCGTTTTGCCGTCTGTATTCACTTCCTTTAGCCTGCTAATTCCTTTCCTCAGTCCTTTTCTACCGACTTATATGGTACCTTACTCAATTCGGTAAGGGCGCAAAGGATATATGCGGTCAAACAAAAGCAAAAAGCAAGGACAAGGAACTATTGATGATAAGAAAAACACTCGTCAGTACTCATGTACTTAGAACTACAACTTTCGTAAATTGTTCTGCAAACCTAAGGCTTATCTCCGCATAACTATATACTATATATGCCTATTTCTCATCATTCGATTGGCATGTGTAATATATGTAACCCAAATAGGTGAAAATATTTATTTTCCCAGATACCGTCATCCTTGAAGGGATCACGGGAGTATGTGCTCAAATCTCAAACTCCGACATACGCTGTGCCAGCCAGTTGGGTCAAACAGTTACCAAGTTACGCTTGTGGGGTTCCGCTCATTAGCAGAACAGTTAAAGTGAGCATGGCTCTTACCCGCTGGCAGAATTCCGGGTGCTCGGCACGTGTGGCAGAAGCACTGCATCACCGAGTCTCGTACTAATCCAATCAGCATGATGGGTTCGTTTCGGGTTTCTTTGAGACAAGTGAAGACCTGGTAGTGGATTGCTGGGATATGTGTGGACTGCTTGTTGCCGGTGTACTTTATTTGGGTTCGGGCTTTCGGGCGTTTGGTTGCCAGACCGAGAAATCGATTTGCGGCACGGCGACTTCGATTTTTGTAAGAGGCAGGAACGGAACCACTTGCTGCTGTTCTAAACTCGATTCTCTACGAAACTGCAAAGCAACTCAGCAGCTCTGCTGGAAAGTGTGCAAGGAAACCCGTATTTGATTTTCGCGGCGTAGGCTGTTGTTTTTGTTACGGTTGCTGCGCCGATAAATTGAATCCTTTGAAAGCGAGACAAGGTAGAGGCGAACCGTAGCGAGCGCAGCGAAAGACAAAGACTAACTAAATTATGCCGAAGTTAATTTTTCAGCAGCAGGCGAACGACTGTCGAGCAGTTTTCGTTGGCGCCAGTGTGGCGGCGAAGTCGGAGTTGGCGTCGGCGTCGTGGAAAGGCCAGGAAAATGCATATACAAAAGGACATGGAACCTTTGGGGGCTGGCGGGGGCGGTGGCAGCACCCTCAAGTCGGAAGCGCGAAACAGACCAAAGAGAGTCGGAGAGAGTGGTTGTTGGAGAGTGGAGAGTGGTTGTTGTGGGGGTTGCAGTGCTTGACTCTGGCAGAACCACTCTACAGTTTAGCCGGACCTTACTTTTAATCTTAATACGTTTTTTGTTTCTGAAAAACTTGATTTTATCATCGAATTGGGCCTCGTTCTAAGCTTTCGAAACATCGACCGAATCAATTTCGAATTTCGAAATCCGAAGCCTGCGCAGTGGGAAATCGCGAGGCGTTGAAAGCGATGAGGTGAGAGCAATCGACTGGGAGAGCGGAAGCAGGCGCGATGAGTCGCATAAGTGCATTCGGAAAACCGGCATGTTACAGAATGTATTCCGGTCGAATACCACTTTTAACCAAAAGCTAAACAATAACATTTCATTTTTGGACACAACAGCAGGAAAGCAAATTTCTATAATAATTTTCTTTAAAAAAAAATTTCTTCTCTTTACTTTTATTAAACCTATTCGGTTCACTTTGTATTTCATCAAAATCTATCATCATAACATGACGAAGAGCAACCAAAAATAATAATTGTGTCAAATAAATACAAACATAAATATTGAATACCTCGTATAAATCGGCGTATCTGATTATTTTTCGTACAACTATATTTGTTAAAATGTATTTAACCTTCCATGTGAAAGTCAAGATCCCGAGAACTAAAAGAAAACATCATTTTTATACCCCGCTCACTTTTACACGAATGGCGTTTTACGAAATTAAATTTGAAAAGGTTGCCACGCCTATTGAAAGTGATTTTATGATTTGATAGTCGAAACACTGTTGTTAATAATTTGTTTTAACATTTTCAAGATGCGTCCTATGGCAGGCAAAAAAATAAGGTTCTCTTGCATTTATTAACGGAATTCGTAATTTATATAATTTTTTTTATTTATTTTTTTTTAATAGTTTTCTAACAAATCTTATTAAATATTTAAAAAATTCTAAAAAAAAAAAATGGAAAAAAAATTTTATGTCACACTACCAACCTTTATTTGAATTTTTATATTAGCTCTAATGGTTTGCTAGATATATGGCTTTAAAGTTTTTTTGAGGTGCTGGTTTAGTCTTTCTAGACGCCTTGTTCTCATGAACGTCACACAACAAACCAGAATACCAGAAGTAATCTGCTAAATTCCAAATAATAAAAACTTTATCTTTCCGAAGAGGAGGTAAAAATTATCAAAATACTGCAATCATGCGGTTGTGGTGAATTTGGTGTGCTAACATACTTTTGATCGGATGAACGCAGGACGCTGGCAATGTCATCGAAGAATTACGACAAGGCGTTCGAAATTCGATCGAAATGTCGAAAAATGCGCAAGAGAAAGAAAAAAAATCGTACAGGGCTGTTGGGAGGAAGGAAACAGAGAATACGAGGAAGAACCAAATCAACCGATGACTCAAAAACCAGTCGGCTTCCGTTCGCTGTCTGCACTATGGGCAGCAAAAGTTTTTTTTAAATTTGTCAAAAATGCAAACCTTATTAACATGCAATACATAATAATTTAAAAAAACAAATTTTGTATTAATTTATTTATAATTTTTAATGTCTAAATGGGGTCTTCGCAAAAGTAGTGTACTGCTTCAGAAGATTATTCTGAAGTCATCAGAAATAGTAAATCAAGGTGCATATTGCTGAGTAGACTTTATTCTTAAGATATAATATTACAAACAAAGGCAAAATAGCGGATTTTTGAAAAGACTTTCTTAAACTCAAATTCTTATTTTTTGAAAAATGTTATTTTTTTTTACAAATTTACATTTTTCTTTGGTTAGGCAGGTATTTTCCTGTGTATATATTTAGTTTTTTTTTGTGAATGTTTCCCCGAAATTGGGGAATTTTTGAATTTCGATTAGAAAATGTAGGGCTTTGTTTTTATAAATGAGCTTCCATCACATTAATCAACTACCTTAAACGCTTGCTCCTCTTTACTTAAAGTATCAGTTGAAAGAGTAAAACTGCCATCACAGTTATCGGCATAAGCCCATCGTTGATTAAAAACTACTTAGGTTAGGTGGTCAGCCAGTTCACGAAGAGGCCGGCAAAAATATAGAGCGGCAAATCAAACAGCAGAACGGCGCCAGCGGAACTATCGCGACGGATGAATCACCATTTCTAACAAGAGGTCAAGTGTTGGGGCGTCTAGCCTTCGCACTCACACGCGAAAATATCATAATAAAATAAAATAAAAAGCATTAAAGAAAAGCTACACTTTACTTAACAAATGTTCTTATTTATCTCCAAAATAACCCCTACTCTAGTTTGTGCAAAAAAATGAATTTAAACAAGAAGGGGATTTAGATTTTAGTCATATTTTCAGATTAGCAATAAAGTTTACTGTATGATTTCTCTTCAATTATTTCATTTTTCGATTCATTTTCTTATTGCTTCAAAAAGTATAGACTAGTTTGCTTATTTACAACCAGAAAGACTGACCTAGATCGACTTCGATGGTGATGCTGATCAAGATTAAACCTAATGAGGCCAATTTGATATATTCTAAAATGGTTTTAATCAATATAACTGAATCTCATGCAGAACTTAATTTTAGTTATTTTTTAACATTTTTTGTTTTATTTGACTTTTTTTTCAATAAAATAATATCAACAAAAATTTAACGATTACCGAATTTAAAAAATTCGAGTAAAAATTATTCCAATATTAAGAATGTCGGTTTTGTCCCAAATCAAAAAATATTTTTGCTTACAAATATTGGTGACACTGCTATATTTTACAAACATTTTCCCAAAAACAGAGACACCACAATTGCGCCAATGCAAAAATTACTCACCTGAAATAAATAAAAAACCATGCACACTGTGAAGTTTCACTCGATTTTGACGAATTTTTTATTAATTTTCGTATTGATTTAGTATTATTAAAAAAAAAGGGTAAAAGTCAAGCTAAACGCATGAATGTTTAACAATATGTAAGTTTGACAAAACTTTTATAAATTTGTTGTAATTTATAAACATATGTATATTATGTTAAACTTATAATTTAAGAGGCGCTACAAAAACAATAATAAATAAAAAACAACAACATAATAATTGATTTCCATTATTTTTCTGATATTCTATGGAATTAATATAAAATTTTATATTCTAATAATATATGTAGGTATATTATATTATTTCCAAAAATTATAAGACTTTTGCTAACTTTTCACAGAAATAATTTAAAATCTAGAACCTAGTTTGCGTAAATCAGAAAGACTTGACTTACTTTATAATTAATTAATAATATAAAAGATATGGTAAATAGTAATATAATACCCTCTTCAAGAGTATATAAATTACTTCTCCTAAATCTAGTTATAACATTTTAAGAGCAAACGTTTAAAAACTGACTTGCATTTCGAAAATGGCAATTGCAGTTTTCCGAAAAAAACATTCTAAGAAATCGCTTAGTTTTACAGGATTCGGTGTCTGTCGTCGACTTATTTTGCTTTTACCTCAATGCATGACTCACAGGGCCTTCTCTTCGTGCCGGCCACCCCCGCTCTCCTAGCCTCCCCGAAAAGGCGAAACTAAAATGTTTGTAATAACAACTGTCGCCGTCGTCGCCAGCCTCGTCCTATTTGTAGTCTCGTCGTTGCTTGTCGTTGCTAAATAAAACCTACAACCCTCAGCGCCGTGCAACTAGCCTCCATCAATCGATTTCCCTCCCCTGCAGGCGACAGGCCTTGCAAAATGAACAGCTGAGCTGAGCAGCGGTTAAGGTTCAATTGCATGTTTATGGCACATTACAGGTCCAAGTCCTTTAGCCAACCAGAGACCCACCATATACATATAGTACCATTTGGCAATTTTATATTGAACTTCAAACTCTATTACCAGGGGCGGATTAAGACAATTTGCCGCCCTAGGCAGTTTTGATTTTGCCGCCCTAGACTGCAGCCTAATTTTTACCTTTATATCATTGTTTTATTGACCTTGTGTTACACGGTTGCATGAATTTCCACATTGAAATTTGGCTTTTTTCAGCAAAGGTCGAACTACTCGAACTACTCGATGGCTGCCGCGAACGCGCGGGAAATTCAAACGCACGGTAATTTTCGGTTATAATGATTGTGCGTTTGAATTTCCGCGTGTTCGCGGCAGCGAAAAGAAGTACATATATTGAACAATATGTTAAAGTTGAAGACCGTAGAGTAAAAATTTTTTGTGTCTATTAAAAAGTAGTATTTTATGTAGTGTTAACAGTCGAAATTTGCCGCCCCTAAAAATTTGCCGCCCCTAAAAATTTGCCGCCCCTAAAAATTTGCCGCCCTAGGCAGCTGCCTATGTTGCCTATATGGTAAATCCGCCACTGTCTATTACTCTTTTCGGACCAACATATTTCGTTACTCCGTATTTCTTAAACCCGTGGAGGTTTTTGAGTCCGAATTCTTCTCAGGTTCCCTCAGGTCCTCATTACTTTATCTTCTGTAGTTTTAAAATCACCACCACCAAATTAAGTAAGAGAGCTTTGAAAACTTTACAATTTTTCACGGCAGTACATTGCGTAAAAATATTAAGTACAATTAAACGCTTAAAAAATTTTTTTATTTAGCACATTTTGCTCTTTACGAGTTGTTGATTGAATTTTCAATTTGATTTTAAGACCGCACTGAGTACACAGAACAATATTCTGGAGGTATTTACATTACTAGACATATTGCCAATGTGCATTCAGCACATTAATAGGCAATTCTTAGTATCAGAATTATATAACTGCACTCACTTTTGGATGCATGGTTTTTGGCAAGGATTTAGAACAAGAAAGTCGTTAAAGGAAGCCAAAGTTGCTGTTTTCCGGGGCAGCATATATTCGGGATTGGTACTTTAACGTAAGGCATCACTGCGGTGGCCAACAATAAAAGCCATCAAAGAGATGAAGTGTCTGGCGAAAGTTGGAGTGGCTTTAAGGCGACTTCTTGGTCTTGTTCTTCCAGCGTTAATTCAATATTGGGTGTGGCAGCCATTGTATACTTTCTTCTGCATATGCTAGCTATTGATTTTACCCTTCGTAGAAAAAAGCGACATGCGCCCACTTTTAAGAAAGCTTCGCTAGGCACCCCTTTAAAAACAGAAATGACTGCAGACTATATACTTTTCAAGAGCATTAATCTTGAAAAAGGAATCGACGGCTTCTAATGTATTTCCGGCATTATTGATCCTCTTTTCGCAAGAAAAAGAGAAAAGCTCATTTATGTCACTGTACATACAGTGCAATGGACACAGTAAGATGTTTTAAGGGGGGGTAAGGTTTTAAAAAACTTTTTTTTACAATTTTTTTTTTTTTTTTTCTGAATGATCAATATGTCGAGAACATTGTGTAAAAATTTTGAGTCAATTAAAGTCAAACTAACAGAGTTACAGCGTTTTAACCAACCGTATTTGGACGTATTTTCACGTATAACAAGAAAGGAAGCTAGCTTCGGCAAGCCGAAGCTTATATACCCTTGCAGTCATCAAATATGTCGAACAAAACGCATAAAGGCTAGACAACATCGAAGCTAAGACGATTTTTTTATTCATTTTCCATATTTTTGACTATAGATCATATGAGAGCTATACGATATAGT